CCAATGGCAGCCTGCTTGTTATTCACCATCTGGAAGCAAGGTTCTCACTGGGGACCACAGTTTGGGGCACTGCAGCAGTTACCAGAAGTGCTGACCCACCTCCCTACCAGGCAAAGGGTCCACGCCCTTTTGAGAAGGAAGCCAAAATCAACAGCTAATTCCTGCCATACCAGGATTAGAAATAAACAAACCCAAATATGCCACCATATCCTGTCCTTGGAGTGCCCTGATTTCCTTTGAGAAACCACATCTCCAATTTGGTTCACAGATTCAAGTAGGGGGAGTTCCACCCCGGACACTAACCCAGTAACTTAGGTGCTGGTCATCATCACTGGTGCAGGGTTTACATGAGACCTGACCAAGTCAATGAGAGCCTCCCCTGAGGCACTATCTCCTCCTGAGGTGCTGAGTGCAGTTGTCGCAGGACCATGTAAACCTGGAGCTGCTGAGAAAGACGCTAACACACGGAGCCCCTGAATCCAGCTATGCCCGACGCCACCTACTCCAAGGACTTTCTAGTTACACAGGCCAGTCCCTCCTCCTTCTTGCTACTGTCTTACCAGCTGGTTGAAGTTGCATTTTAATCATTACAGCCCTAAATCTGTCAGAGAATGATTCCTGAAGTGCAGGACTGGCCATGTGGAGACCGTGAAGATGCTGACAGCAGCAACGCCAATTGAAATGCTGCCTGTTTTGTTTGGAGACAGACCTTGGGCAGTGGTGTCTGGTATTTGAGGGCAGTTGGTATCACAATTTAGGTGATTAGCCTAAATTGGATACTTTTGAGGGTCTGGTTAAGACCTATAAAAAGGGGGCAAGCATCATTCCTTGCAGCCCCTCTGAACAACACAGCCTTGACAAGGGGCCTTTTCTGCCTATGTATGACAGTACAGATGGCTAAGGGTCAAACCTGATCATAAGGGCTGGACATTCTCTGTTCCCATTGAAGATGGTGCCAGAAGTGTAAGAAGACTAGAACCACGAGGCACTAAGGCTGGGGCCTGGGAAAGGCCTGATCCCCCAGGGCTTCACAGGGCCTGTGGTGGCTGTCCCGTAGGAAGCCAGGAGCCCTTCGGCCCAGACCATTGCTTACCCATTAAATGGAGCATTGGGGGTGGGGTGGAGGCACGAGGGTCGTTGCTGAGGAATGGAAACCTCTAGGCCTGACTCTAGATACAGGGCTTGGAGTTAACATAGTATTAGACTCCAGCTTCTCATCCACAGAAACGCTCAACCTTCAAATGCCCAAAGGCCTGCTATGGTGAACTCAAGGGCGCTGCAGAGCCAGGCAGGCCCCAAACCTGACAAACAAGGCTTCAGAGTGCTCAACTCAAGGCATAGTGTGACATTCCCAACAGAGGTGGATGTTGGGGAGCTACAGCTCAGAAGGTCTTTTTACAAATGGCCCCTCTTGGGTGGCTAAATGGCTGAGAGCCAAGGCAGAGGTGTCCACAGAACAGAACTGGGGGCACCAGGACCAGGCAGGAAGTCTGTTGTGCTGCTCTACCATGCTGTGATCATAAACTACAGACCAGTTATCTCTGGGGTATTTCCATTTCCTGCTTTTTCCAAAGAGCAGATATCCCTGACACCATGCCAGATACTGGGCAGGAAAGGGTACACTAAGTAGCTTATGACTCATCAGTTCTGCCAAAGCCACTGCACGCTTAGCACCTCCTTGCAAACTGCCACTTCCCCAGCACACACAGCCGGTCCTGCTGGCCTGCCTGCCACTCCCACAAGGGAAGGGACCCCTAATTGTTCATGTTGTCATCCCTGGCAGGTGCTTGCTGACTCAACTGCCGGCAAATTTTACTTTCTCCTGTGGGAACTGGGCCAGGGACCTCGAGGGTACAACTACAGGAGGGCCGCTGTGACTTGTAACTGGAGAGACTGGGCATTCACACACTGGGCCAAGCTCCAACGAGCTTGAAGGAGGAGAGACTGTTGTAGGTGGAACCAACAAGGGAAGCTTCCTGGTGGAAGAGGCATCTCAACGAAGAGAGTGTGGGGCCATCTATGTGCAGAGGAAAGAAAGCAAGCTTGGTAGGTGAAGACAGTGGCCCAAGACAAAGTGAAGGGACATAACTTGGTAGATGACATTGGGCACAGGGGCTGACCCACACACACACTGTGCCTCCAGGTCTGGGTAGCTTGGGCTCTCCTGTGACATAAGGCCCCATCTTGCCTCCCTCCAGCCACGTGTGCCTGAGAACCAAATCCCTGCCCCACTGGGTGGCCCCAAATGCAACCACAGAGCAGAATCCAATGCAAAATGGTCAATACATTGTGGTGTGATGGCGTGGCCAGCTTGAATGTTCCGGAGAAGGCAAGGCAGCTGCTGTGGGGGTTGGCATGGGATGGGGATGGAGGGGGGCTACCTGGAGTCTAACAGAGGCTGACACTGAGAGGCTGCCTGGGGTGGAACATTCTAGTTCAAACTGTGTCCTGGAAAAGTTGCTTCACTTTTGCCAGCCTTGGTTTCCTCACCCATAAGATAAGGGGTTGGTCATTTCCGTAACTACTCTGTCTAGAATTCTGAGCAGCACTATTAGGGTGTTATAAGCTCTGGCTGCCTGGGTTCCAGTCCTGGCAGTGCCACTTCTGTGGGACCTTGCTGAGTTCCTTCACCTCAGCTGTGACACAGGAATGACAAGAACACCTACTCAGAGGGTAACACTGTGGATTCGGGGAGGTGCTGGCATGGAAGGAGGGCTTAATGAATAATACTCCATGGCCACCTGCTGCCACCATCCTTGCCGCAGACAGAATGTCTGTGTACACCCCTCCCCAAATTTCGATGTTGAAGCCTGAATGCCCAATGTGATGACATTTTGGAGATAAGGCCTTTGGCAGGTGATCGGGGTTAGATAAGGTCATGGGATTGGGACCTCACGATGGACTTACTGGATTCAAAGAGGAGGCCACACAGAAAGGCAAGGCCATATGAGGACACAGTGAAAATATGGCAGTTTGTAACCTAATGAGAGTGCTCACCAGGTGCTGACCCTGCTGGTACCCTGATCTTGGATTTGCCAGCCTCCAGAACTGTGAGAAATAAATTCCTGTGGTTAAGCTGCCAGTCTCTACTTTTTTGTTAACGCAACCCAGAAGACTAAGACAACCCCATGCTCACAAACGGAGTCAGGACGGATGACCAGGCAACCTCCCACCCTCTCCTCTGTATGGGGAGACCCACCGGATCCTCCCACATGTGGGAAATCCACATCATGCACACCCTGGTGGCCGAGTGCAGCCTCGGGCACACGCAGGGTCAGGTGAACCTCAGCATGCCAAGCAGAGGGGCAGTCATGGCAACAGGAAGGGAAGAGGCAGAGAGGACGCAGGCAAGTGGGAGGCCACGTGCAGTCAGTGAGGGGCAGGGAGCTAGTGCAGCCCATGACCGAACAGCCCCCGCCGGCGGTGCCCGGCTCCTTACCTCCCCTGTAGGGCCTCTGACCACCAGGACTGTGTTCCCCCAAGAAGCTGGAGGCGTGCTGGAAAGAGTAGGGAGCAGGAGACAGGGAGCGGTAGATACCGAGGCAGGTCTACAGGAGAAAGTAGTGAAAGGATCCCCAAAGCAGGGTGTTAGGCTCAGGGAATCCATGGCAGAAGTGGTCTCCGAGAGGCCCAGGAGACCCAAATGCCAAACAAAGATTACCCCCAAGAATGGTGTAGGCCAGGGGCACAGACAAGGGGTTGAGAGAGCAGAGGGAAAAGAGTACCCCAGAGTGGACCACGCCTAATGCGCTTCTGGCTGTCCAAGGCTGGCGCCAGGTCTGTCCAGGGTGACACTCTCAGCAGGTTTCTGGGGATAGAGCAGCCTCTCCATGGGGAGAAGGAGTCAGTGGTGGACAAACAGCCCTCAAGAAACCCCAGGAGGCAGGGTCAAGGAGGCTGCTCTCTGCACAGAGAGCAGTCAGCCCCCTGGGGCCCAAGAGAAACAGGAGAAGGGGGGCTCATATTCCAAGGAGGTTCTTAGTCCTGGCTCCACAATCTCTGGGTAACTCTGGGCAAGGGATGTGTCCTCTCTGGGCTCCATATATGAGCTGGGGAGAATACTCCCCTCTGCAATAAACAAGACAGTAATAAACATGTTCCCAGTGCCAGGGTCCAAGTATCCCCAGGGTTGTGTCCATTTCTAGATTTTACTCTGGGCATTCGTTTGTGCTGCAATAGGGGATGATCAAATATTCAAGATTCCTGGGCTCCCAGAAACTTACTGCCACCGAGGGCCACTCCTCGAGCTTTAGGACCCCAGGGCTCACAGATCCAGGGAAGAAGGAGCCAGGAAGCAACATGTAACACATTCAGGATCTAGGTCAAGGGCACTATTTCCCCATTGGGCCATCCACAGCCTCCCGTCATGAAATTCCAATCGCTGACTCGACGTGCCTAGGCCACCCTCTCTCCCAGTGCACCCCCTCTTTGGGAACTGCTTCTGTCCTGCTCTTCACTGCATCCCAGCTCTGCCACCCACGGCCACTCACAGCAGGTGCCCAAGGAGTGACAGGCTGCCCTGGGCCATCAAGAACTTGATTTGTAGCCAATGCCAGTCACTAGAAATAGCCTCATAGCAAGATAGCACATTTTTTAAGCTTTTTCAACCTGGTTATACAACTGGTTCCTTTTGGTCCTGGTAATCCTGGTGAGGGCAGGTATTACAACCCTGTCTTACAGGAAAGTAAACTGAGGCCAAGCATGTGAAGAGGTAATTTGCACAAGGGCTCACAGTTGGGTAACTCCTAGTCGACAGCCAGGGCGAGAGCCTGGGTCTACTGACATCTGGCCTGGTGCTTGCCGTGTGCTGTTAAGGCTGCTTACCACTGTGTTCATCTGGCAGGTTCCTGCCTGGGCACTATCAAGGGTTAAGTACCTTGGATACTGGCCCTCAAACCAGTGTCTGTAGCCGTAGAGCTGCAACCTATGCCTGGCACATGGGTCGGCATGTATAGAACTAGGTGTGTTGGGGGGAAGCCATGGCTGGCCTCCACACCTACCTTTGATAACAAATGCCTCAGCCAGGAGCCGCATCTGATACAGGGGCTTGTTGTCCATGGCCATGTCATCAATTCCGGCCCGTGCATACATGCTGATGGCATCTCGGTACGAGCCCTCCATGTAATGCAGCTTGCCCAGGATCAGCATGGCCTCAGACATGTACTGTGGCTGAAAAGACAAGGAGCATGTTAGCACCAAAGCTCCCGCCCTCACTCCCACCAGGTCCTCTGGGGTGAACACTCCCTCACTGAGTCATAAGCCATGATGATTTGTCCAAGGCCACTTTGCCTCCTCCAGGAAGCCTTCCCTGATACCCAAGCACAGGCTGACAGCTCTCTTCTCTCCATACCTCTGGTCCATGACCAACACTGTGACTCTTACTAAAGTCCCTAATTGTGTGTGTGTGTATGTGCATGCACATGTGTGTCTGTGTGTCTGTGTATGCACGTGTGTATGTCTTATGCTCCCAACTAGACTCCAGGCAGCTTGCTGGCAGCATCCTGGCTTCTCTCTCTTGAAATCCCCAGAGACTATAGAGCTTCAATAAAGTCAGTAGTCAGGAATCCAGGCAAGCTTTGAGGGGCCTGAAGCTTATACACTGCGGGAGGTTGTCTTTATATGCATATTTAAATATAAACTAGGTGGAAGGTCTTGGAAATAACCTTTGCAGGTGAGGGGCCTGCAACTGAAGTCAAAGACACAGGACAGAAGGCAGGCAGAGGGCCAAGGCCTGCTGGGTACAGGCCTCACCTTATCAGGCAAGGGTGAAAGTGCAGAGCCCAAGATACCAAAAAATGTGAATTCAAACCTGTTTTCTTTCCCTTATTTTCTTAAGTGCTGTTTACACCCAAATCTCCACCCCACACAAGAACTCTCAGGGTTTCCCTTAGGGCTAACCAGCCCTGCCACAGAGACCTGGCCTTGGACATGGCCCAACCCTGCTGCAAGATCTCCCACCCTGTGCGGTCACTTGCTCTAGCCCACTGCCTCAGTTGTGCGACCATAGTCCCTTTGGCCCGACATTGGGCACTGCCCCCTCACAGCACAGCATTGATTCTGTCCACCAATCTTCCTGAAGGTGGGGTGCTGGTCCCAAGCCCTGGCCTCTGTCACTGACAAGAAGGTCCTGGCCCTGACTCCCTAAGGGGACAGCATAATCTGTCTGGGGTACCTGGGATCCCTGGGGAAGCCTCTACCACTCCCCAACATCTACTGCCCTCTCAGAAGCCAACAAAGAGGACGGAGCATACAAAGCCAAGCTCTCTTCCCTCAATGGTTTTTACAAATACACACCCTTCCTTTGCCTTTGCTCACACTGATTAAGCCTCAAAGGCAAAAGCTTTCAAGGTCATCTGCTAGTCTCCCCAAATAGCTACCCCTTCCCTGGGTCAGGGCTGCGGGTTCCATACTCCACGGTTCTTCCAAGCTGGGAACCACTCCACCATTCCCACACTGGTCTCAAGCCACGGACACATTTCTTCTCTGCTCAGGCCTCCTTTTCCTCATTGGTCAGGGAGAGATAATGACACCCATCCCTCACCTCCCATCATCGCAATGCTAAGAGCATTAGTAGGGCAGAGCCCAAAAGAGCTTTGAACTTTTCTTTAGAAAGGATCTAGATAAATACAGGGCATGAGTATAATTATTATTATTACTATTTACTGTTATTATCCTCTTGTACTATTATAAATGGGGACAGCTCAGAAGGACACATTGCAGGGTGTAGCCGCAGTAAGTCCACAAGAGGGCTTCCACCAAGCTGGGGGAAAATTAAGAACACTGACTGAATGTTTCCTAAAGCTAAATGCGTATTATAAAAGCCCTTAAGATGAAAACATATCTGCCTTGCTTTTTGGTGCTGGGATGTGCTTTCTTTTATAAAGTGATGGTAACAGAAGATGATACAGTTTGGGGGTTGGGTGTTTTTGTTTTCTTTTTTTATTATTTCAATGTTCTTACTTGGCAGAATTAGAAGTTGCCTGTGCTCTGACAAAGCCCCTGCCCAGCAGAAGGGTGCTGTGCAGGGAGGCACTGAGCCAGGGACGTGGCCCCCTGCTGTGGGGTGTGGGCCCATCATGTAGTCTTTTTTGAGCATCTCTGTTAATACAAAGGGAAAGATGACCTCTTGTGGATTCTCACCGAAGACAAGAGAACACAAAAGGAAATACTTCACGGATGCAAAACGGGACCTATAAAAGCAGGAGTGTCATCATCATCACTAACATGAATCCAAGTTTCTTAGTCTTCACTTCCACTCCAGTACTTAGGGAGACAGGACCAAGACGTGGCAAAGAGCATTAGAGCTTGAGATGGGGAGACAAACATGCCTGCGCTCATGACCTGCAGCTGCTACAAGGTCCTTGGCTAGGTGACTAACCCCTTCTGGGTCTCACTTTCTTCACCTGGAAAATGGTGATAATAGTAAACACCATGGCAGAGGGTGACTGTGAGGCACCAGTGAGATGGGGCAATGCCTGGCACTCTGTGGCTAAGAGAAAGCATGACCGATGGCTCGTTGTCATAGAACAGAGCTAGACAAAATCTTACGGATCGCCAAGAGTCTACTGTCCGATTTCAAACCGCCCAAGGAGGTGCTCAGCACTAACCTCACCCATATCTCATTCCGCAGAACTACTGAGGATGCCTGGCATCTGACTGAGACTTCATCTGGTGCCAGATCACCCCACTCACAGCCTGGCCTTTGGGGTAGGACAGAGAATACCATAAACTATTTCTAATATTTTACTTTGCCAGCTCAACATACAGTTCTTGACTCTGACCTGGGTAACAGTGAGTTCCCCAATGTTACTAGTGCCTATGCATGCCTTTGATTAATAAAGCAACATGAAAGTTGTACATAAAAACATGATTTGGTAGACCAAACAGTTTCATGACAATACATGTGGATACTATTTAGCCAATGTAAAGAATAAGGTTTTGGCAGCTCCAAGTGAAAGTTCTCAGTGAAACAGAACCACCTGTCAAACACTGATATGTAGCCGATGAGTCTAATGTGTGCGTATGTGTTGTAACTGCAAAGGGAAAGGCAGGTGGAACATACACCAAATGGTGATGGAACTTAGCAGACAGGAGTGGGAAACAAACTTCCTGTTTATTTAGTAAATTTTTTTCATAAAAACCTGAGTCATTTTTATTTTAAAATGTTTTAAATATTAATGCAGTCTATGAAAAGGAAAAAATTAAAGGGGTTTTGGTGGGAGAAGATTGAGACCCACTAATTAAATCCAACCCTTTAATTGGAGGGTGAGGAACAGGAGGACCCAAGAGGTCAAGGGACTCACTCCAGGTTAAGCAGCTCTTTGATCCAACACAAAACCTTCTAGAACCATGATAATCCATGTCAAGGAATCTAAAGACTGTGACTTTTAACTTCCATGTACACTTTTCCTCACAAAATATGCCCCATGCTTCTCAACCTGGTGTTCTAGACCTTACCCTCTGGCCCGAGTGTTCCCTTTTAAACTAATTACCCACTGTTCCCTTTTGCTCCTGCTAATTGACAGACTTCCATGAAATTCCTATAAGGAGCCCTTCAATGACACACTGCATCTTCAGCTTGGAATCTCTGTCTGATCTCTCTGTCTACATCCCTCCCCCCTTCAAAGTTCAGGCTACAGAAGGATTCAGTTCTAGCACCACTATCACATGCGTCAACGCCCCACCTCACCCTGGGAGTGTCTCTCTTGGACCGGCCTCCTCATGTACACCACTCCTGGGGCGCATGTCACAGTCTACCTTGGACAACTTGCTGATAGGACTTATCATCCCAGTATATCTGCAACGACGCTGAGGGCAGGGTCCATGGGTTCATCTTTATTGCCCTTGGAGTACAAAACACAATGTCTTGCACACAGTAGGTTGTGATAATAAGTCAGTAATTTGGAACATCTCTTGAAAAATCATATCCTCTTTTGGTCCCTAATGATACAACTTTGTCTCTATTACAGCTCAGAAATCATTATACTCTAGAACAGTCTCACATTTTAATGTGCATGTGACTTCCTGGGAGAGCATGTCAAAATGTAAATTCTGATTCAGAGTTTGCATTTCTAACCAGCTCCCAGATGATACATACACTGTGGTGGATGGGCCAGATTTTAAGCAGCAAAGGTCTAGAGAAAGCAGTAACTCTACTTCTCTCCATACCTCCCACCAAGGCCGGCACAAGGCAGGTGCTCAGTAAATGTTCATGGACTTCAGTGGTTTGCCCTGGTGAGCTGGCACCAGCCAACTCTGCACATTTGCCTTTGTCATCATACGCTCACTAAGCTTTGTTTCCCTGAGACCCCCCAAAAGACCAAAGCACCAGGCCCATAATAAGTCTAACAGAAATACACTTTACGGTGCAATGTAAGCCGTACATATGTAATTAAAATTTTTCTAGTCACATTAAAAAAGGTAAAATTAATTTTGTAACAACCTTCATTTAACCCAATATACCTAAAATTTTATTATTTGACAGGTAATCGATAAAAATGATTGACCATTTATAGTCTTTGTTTTGGACTAAGCCTTCAATATCCAGAGTATGTTCTATGCTTATAGTACATCTCAATTGGACTAGCCACATCTCAAACACTCAAGTGCCACATGGGGCTAGTGGCTACTGTACTGATCAGCACAGGGGCACCCCTTAAGTGACCAAGTGACCCAGGGAAAGTTTGACAACTGACTAGGAGACAGGAGAAGAGGAGAGGAGGCCTTGGACTGGGAGGGTGGGGAAATAGTGGCTGACCACTTACCGGCAGCTTCCCGTGGTTAAGGATACTGCTCAGATAGTTTCTGGCTTCATTCATTTTTGGCTCATTCTTCTCCGGCAAAGGGATGGAGTCTTTTATCTTGGCATGGTTCTCCTTCAAACACTGCTCCACGAGGGCCTCGGCCAGAAGCAATTTCCCCAAGTCATCTGAAAAAGAAGGCAGGGGTCAGAGAGGGTACGGTCACAGGGGCAGCGGTCCCCTGGATTTGGTAGATATTGGAGACTGCTACATGCCCCTGCACACCCCTGTCACCCCCACCCTAACATGTACATGGCCCAGATCTAAGTAAATAAATAAAGTTCCCATAAAGTCAAGCAAATTTGGGCCTCCCTGGTGGCGCAGGCAGTTGAGCGCAGTGCTGTGAAGCTGTCCACAGCCTCTGCAGCACCGGTTCAATCCCCCCCAGCCTCAGAGCAACCCACATGGCGCACAGACCTTTCCTGTCTCACCCGCTGCTCCCCTCAGCAGTGTATTTCAGTCAGTCTGCTTGTTCTGTTTCCCGCTCTGTCTCTGGTGAATCCTCTCACCCTCCTGTGCATCTGGCCTGTACCCAGGCTCTTGTATAAATAAAATAAATCTTAAGAAAAAAAAAAGTCAAGCAAACTTTAAAGAAAAAACACAGGCATTCTACTACGATCACAGTACAAAGAGCCCTTTTGGGTTTATTTTCTGTAGTTTAGCAGTTGGGGAGGCAGAGTTCCCAGGACTTGGGACAAATTCCCAGAATTTTAGAATTTAAAATGAGGAACAAAGTCACACCCATGCCCTACTACTGGTAAGAAGTTCTTAAAACCAAGAAGGAATTTCCCCCAAACAATCTAAGAGGAAAAACATATGAAGTAGTTTAATAATACATGTTCATGTGCTCCTAATTTCAATTTCAATGTAATTTCAATTGGCTTATTCCGTTTGGGAGGTATTTTAACATGACCCAGGGGTAACCTAGCAGCCAAAGGGAGATGGTGGGAAACAGATTTACTTGTTTAGTGAGGCAAATCCTTGAACACCGAGTACTGGCACTTTCTGGATTCTCTCATGTTAGCTTATCTGCAGACCTCCCTGCCTGGCAGGTGATTTTATTCTGCTGGGTTTAATTTGCTGCCTTTTCCTACAGCACTGAAAACTCCAGTCTTGTGACCACCACATTCCTGCCATCTGCAGCAGAGGTGACCTGGGTGTTCTGTGGGCAGGGTTAGACCAAGCACGGTTTCCTGGAGGCCTGGGTAGCTATGCTGTGTGACTGGCTCATTGTGCCTCCCCCACAACCAGGGTGGGGACAGGCCTTCCATGACACAGGCGACCCGTAAATAGCTGCGGAGTGAATAGAAGCATCATCATGGCCCCATGGGTAGGCCATGAGGTTCAGGAATTTACATGTCGGGAATGGGTGAGTGCACCCTTCTCTTCACAGAGTTCTTACTGCTGCACAGATGGCTATTCAGAAATGTCACTCCCTCCTCACTCCCAGGACCGCTGCACTTTGCTCACCACTCTAAGCCACTGGTCCAAATCTGCAAATCTCCCTCCGTAAGGGAAATCCCCTACCGAGGACAACCCCAAAGCCCAGAATCCCGAAAACAGTTAGCAGAGATTCTCCTTCTGGGACATCATGGCCTGTTGTTGGATCCTTTGCTATCTACCTCATGATTTCTAAAATTAACATGGAGAGTAGACAGTCCAAAAAAGTACCTGTTTCAAACTATCATCCACTGCTGGGGGTTTTGGTGGGGGGGAGAGTAGAAGTTGGGTAGAACCTCTATAAAGGGCAATTTGGCAACATATATCAAAATTATTTTTGTACATTCCCACTGACTCAGCAATTCCACTCCTACAGATGGTCTTGCACAGGTATAAAATGACCGACATATAAGGTCGTTCTTACAATGTTATTTACACTAACAAAATTTATATCCCTAACAGCGGGCTGATTAAATAAAGCATGGTACATCCACAGAAAGAGACAGCAGTCTACCATACAAAGTAGTGCAGCTACTCTGGATGTGCTGCTATGGAATGAACTCTAAGATAAATGGATAAGAAAGCAGAGTGCACACAGTGGACGGAGTGGGCCACTGCGTATTAAGCATACATAATGTGGAAGGAAACACACATCTGATAACTTGTTGGCATATGAGGAAGGCTTTTCACTCTTTGTGGCGTCTTTGGAATAATGGCCCATTCGAATATATTTCCTAATCAAAAATAAAATTTAAATCAAACAAAAGGCAATCTTCTCCTTTAATTTTAAAGCACAGCTGCTTAGCAGCAGGCATCTGAGCAGCAGCTCTCAGATAGGGAGCTTGAGAAGTGGGGGGCAGGTAGGGGGAGTGAGAAGGGGCTCTGGACAAATTCTCCTCCCCAACTAACTGTTCTACATCTATAAAGCCAGAGTAGGTTAGGAACTGCTCCTCCCAGAGAACCGCCCCTTCCCAAGCCCGACCTCCTTCTGCAACCTGGTGGACCCCAGCAGCACTGGCCCCATCCTGGGCTCCCCACAGCTCCTTGGCTCCCCAGCTTTCAAGCTCAGAGAAAGCAGCTTTCTTTACTTCACTTGTGGAAATACTCCCCAGGGTGGGCTCCTCACCTCAAAATAGCTGCAGTACTCTCTGAACACATGTTGCTGAAAGTGTGGTCATGGACTCTGTGTGTGTGTGTGTGTGTGTGTGTGTTGCTGAGTGTGACCTAATCCCACAGAGAGGAGTGCAGAAATTTGGAGTCCGTTCAGAAATGTTGATAATGTCACAGAATAATTTTAGATCTGTTGAATAGAATAAAAAATTGGGAGGTAGCAGTTTATGTATCTTATGAAAGTATCAGAGCACAACAGATTGGGAATTTAAGAAAAACAAAGCCATTAAAAGGATTCCTCACCGTGGGTCATTTGAGAAGCCCTGCTCTAAACCGCAAGAATGCTTTTTACCGTGAAAGGAGGACTGATGTTTGTTGAGGGCCCACTGAGTGCCAGGTACTTCATTATGTAGTAACACTGACTATGCACAGCCCTTTATACCATTTACAGATATAATATTGTTACAGTCATATTTCACAACAAGAACATAGCCAAAGAGCAGTCTGTCTATCCTGTCTCCCATGCAGAGCAGAACTTCTGATAGTTTAGAAACAAAGAACAGTCTAAGAGCTATAATCAGTTCTTTCAAATCTAACAGTAACTCCAAGGTTAGGAGTAAGAATTGTTCTCATTGTCATATATACCTGTGAGGTTCAGGGCCTTTTTGCTCTTGCTCTTCCCTCCCCACCTCCCCAGCTGGTCTAGTTGTTTTCTTTTTTTTTAAATTTTGTTTTATTTATTTTTTTTAAGAGGCATGTATTTATTATTTATTTGTTTGTTTATTTATTTATTTGTTTGTTTGTTTATACATGCACTGGGTACAGTCAGAAGCACGGAAGGGTGAGAGAATTCACTAGAGCCAGAGCAGGGAGCAGAGCAGGCAGAAGGACCTAAGTACACTGCTGAGGGGAGCAGCGGGCGGCAGGAGAGGTCTGCGCGCCACGTGGGACCCTCCTCTGGTGGCCGGGGAGCAGCCAGGGATCGAACCGGCACCGCAGAGGCCACGGGGAGCTCCGCAACCCAGAGCTCAACCGTTGCGCCACCGGGGAGGCCCTGGTCTAGTTTTTTTGTTTAACAGACACTCAATAGGTATTGGGAATTTTCTTTCTTTTCTTCCTTGTTCAGCTCTCCTTTTCATCCCACTATTCTCAACTTGTCAGTCTATGGTACTGAAGGATATTTTGGAATTAAAATTTCTAGACTTTCAGTTATTAAAAGTTCTAGATTTTCAGTTATTAAAAAATATTAATAGTTATTAAAATAAGTAGGTCTAAAACCTACTCCCTCTTCCAGTTTGTGTTCCAGCTTCTCCTTTCCCAGAGTCATCTGGAATGACTTCCTGATAGTGAGTGAAACAGACTCTGGGAGTCGGAGGCTGATTCTAGCAGCCCCATCCAGTCCCCTGCCCTTAGCAGAGGCCCAAAGGATGCTCCAGTCTCCCCACTCCTCTTGTCTTAAAGCTCTTTGGTGGCTGGTTTCCTGCACTCCAACTTCATTTAGTTTTCTCTCAAGGAAGGATATTTGCACATATTTGCAACCCACATTTGCAGGGCAATGCTCCCATCTCCACAACCTGCCAATTCACGGTCTGGAAACCTGGGTCCCACCAGCCAGTCTGGTGATCAGTCCCTTCCCCACCAGGACTCTGCAGCTGCTCACCTCACAGGGTGAGCCACAGCAAGAGGAAGCAGCAGCCCAAACTCATGAGAAGCTACTGCCTCCCACAAATCCCTTTCTAACTTCAGCTGAAGAAATGCTCAGAACAATCTCTTCTTAAAAAAAAAAGAATCACTCTGTTAAAAAAACAGATAGGCGTTGACTACAGGTTAGGAGCCCCAAGACAATATCCAAATCTCCACGGTAGGTATGCCAAACGCACAATTCTTTCAACTTGAAATTTCAAATATTGAAATGTACACATAAAATATTAGGGGGGTGGGAGAAAGACCCACCACTCTATCAACTAAATGCAATGTGTGGTCTTATTTGGGTCCTGATTCTAACAAACGAACTGTAAATTTTAGTCATTAGATATTGGGGGGAGGGGAATGGTGACAATGGTATGGAAGTTATATTTTTCAATAGTAACTTAATAAACACATACTGAGGTATTTCAGTGTGAGGGAGAATAAGCCAGGGTGCTGCTCAGACAAGATTGTTCACGAGGCCATAATCTCTGAAGCTAGTTGAGGGATACATTGGATTGGTTCTATTTGGGGAATTTTTCGTAACAAACTTTTCTTTTCTGTTTTACTTAACTGTTGGATGGGGTGTTTGTTTTCACATGAATAAACCCTATCATAGTGAGTGGCACTCTGGGGTTCCCCTGCTTCATCCAGGCCGGATGTGAGTTTCAAAGAAAACACACAAACAGCAGCAACCAACCCTCCCAGGTTTGTGGTGGGGAGCAGCCTCCCCAGACAGGAAAAGGGCGTGGGGTTCCCTTCTGCCTAAGGATCTCTTGATCCTTCACTCCCACCAGACCAGAAAAAGGTCCCCCTACAGCTGGGTTCTCTCCTCCGTCCCCCTGAAGTGAAATGAATACCCTGGGAGCTATTATTATTTATATTATTATTTATAGACAGGGCCTCTGTCTATAAAATGGGGTTCAACTGGGGTTCAGCTTCCTTCCTCAGTACCTTCCTCTTCTCTTCCAAGTTATATAAAGGTTGAAGCTTTTGGTCACTGGCTGTAGACTCTAACAGGCCAGGTGGAACTTTAAGCACGGACCCTCTACCCCACCCCCGCCCAAACAAATTAAGTAAACAGGCTTTGTATTCCTCCAGTTATCAGGGAACCCAGTGGAGACTGAATGAAAATAACTGACAATGTAAAATATGCTCTACACATGTCTTTGGTAGTTTTTGGTTTTCCTTCCTCTGTGTGTATGTGTGTATATTGTATTTTGGGGTAATGTCCCTGAACTGAACAGTAGGAGAAAAACTGCTCATAGAACCAAAGCCAAACCTCCCTCCTGGTGCTGGTCTAACTCCCACACTGAAGCCAAATCTGGCTTTCTGCTCCCCACTCTGCCATAAATGGACTTGGTGGGAAGGAATCAGATTGGGATACAAGCTCTTCCACATACACATTACATGACCTCTCTGGGCCATAGTGCCCATATATCTAAAGCATTCCTGCCCTCCCTACAGGTTTGTTTACTAAAATAAAAAACAAATACAGAAACTATAATTATACCATGCCACTTATAATCCGTGCCATACCCGTGTTTCCCGATAATGCTTGATAGAATGTGGTCCAGGCAAGTATGAGAAATATGGTGTTTACCCTCTAACCGTGGCACGCACGCCACACCAGGCGAGCGTATTTGCCGCTCTGACAAGATCGACAGTTAAAAAAACTCTCTAAAATATTGAATCCCTTAGGTCTGATTCCTTAATCATTTTGGTTCCTCCACCCTTTCTCCCTGGGATATCCATTAACTAACTACTCAAGATCCTTGTAGGAAGTACAGCCCCTTGTGAGCGCAGGACACCCTTGTTCCTGGCCCCGAGCTCTGTGTGGGTCTGTCTCCATTTCCACTCTCACAGCTTCTCCCACGCATACACCTTGAGCTCTGGTCACTGCCCCTCGCTGCCATGCTCAGATCTAGCTCAAAGTCTCACAGATGGGCCCTCCCTGCCTCCTGGCCCCCTCAGTATCCACCCTTCTACGCTTCCCTGGGGCCGGGCAGACACTCTGCCCTTCCCAAACCAGTCAGAGGCCAGTACACATTCTGGCTTCTTGAAGCCTTCTCTTCCTCTGAGCTCCACAGCCTAACACAGGACTACCCTCTAGTCACCCCCCTGCCTCCTTGTTCACTTTGGAAACTCTTCCAGCCCGGATTCTGTGCTATACATCTTTAAGACGTAATACTGTATATGACTTAAAGAATGTACACAGAAACCTGGGTTCAAATCCTGGTTCCCCCACTTATTGGCTGGCTCAAGTTACTAAACTTCTCTGTGCCTCAGTTTTCTTATCTGTAAAGTGGAGCAGAGAAGAGCACATGGGGTTGTAGGGAGGAATTCATGAGTTGGCTAAAGTGCTAAGACAGGGTCTGGCATACAGTGAGCGCTAGATGGGCCTCAGCTATTGCTATTATTCTTCCATCTCCCCCACAGAGTCTACACAGGCTGGGCAGTCTTTAAAACTCTTTATATCTGTGTTTGTTTACTCTCTGCCCGCCTCCCCCAAGTCTCTGAACTGGCTGTGCACAGGGGTGCAGGGAAGACTCTCCAGGCTGAGACAAGGCACCAGGAACAGGACTGGAGGCTGGGGCGGGTGTTTCCCCACTGCCACATCAGGGTGATTTCCCGCCCCCAGCACAAGAGCCCGGCCCAGACAAACCAGCCCTACTACTAAAGCCAGCGGCAGTGGACCCGGAGTGGGACAACGAGGAAACCGAGGCGTACCAGGCCTCTGTGCACTTCTCTGCCTCCCCAGCCTGGCGCTCATGAACCCCCAGCCTGTCCCCTGTGGACACAGCTCCGTTGTCATCCTGACTTGGGGGCAGGAGGAGGGCAGGAAAGACAGTTTTTACCTGATGGAGTTTAAGGAGTGGGGTAGGGGTGAGGGGGGGCGTTGCAACCGTGGCGCAAGCGTCCAGCCCTTGCCCAGATCAGTTTCACGCCGACACCACAATTTCACAGTAAACAGAGGTGCCCCGTGATCCTAAAGGGCAGAGAGCAGAAGCTGCTTGTCTGTCTCCCCACAGCACCCAACCTGTGGAGGACTCTTTCCCCTGTGGCAGACATAACTCCTCAGGCCGCTCCTCAGATCAGCACGACAGGAAGAGTAATTCCCAAGGCGGCCGTCGCCGTCCGGGGGCAGTCGGGGAGCGCTTCCTGGAGGAGGCGGCGCTTTTGGCGCGCTGGGCGCTCGTGAACCAGCCCCCTTCCCTCACTCACCGGGGTCCAGAGAGGAGAGCGCGGCGCTGGGGCTGGCTCGCCGGTTGCCTCCGCCGCTGGGCACGACCAACGCCTGCATCTGCCGGACCAGCTGGGGCATGCGGTCCCAGTGGCCCTCGGCGCGGCAGCGCTCCAGCTCGCTCTCGATCTTCAGGTGGGAGCCGTGTGCGCCCTTCGCAGCCATCTTCGAGCGGGCGCTGTCATGGGAGGCGCGGCCGAGAAGTGGAGACCCGGCCGGGGGCGGCGTGCCGGCTGAGGCGCACACGCGGGGGGTGTCGGCGGGGGCGCGGGCGGCGGCCCGGGCCCGGGCGGCAGAGGGGGCCCCAGCGGCAGCGGGCGCGCAGCAGCAGCAGCAGCAGCAGCACCCCGCGCACCGCCCGGCGCCTCGGGGCTGGGGCTCCGGCTGCGCGGCCCGAACGCGTCCGGGAGCAGCCTCCGCCTCTGCCTCAGCAGCTCCTGGCGCTGGCGCTGCCGCCGCTGCTGCAGCTGCTGCCACGGCCCCCGCCCCGGGCCCGGGCGCCGCCAGCTGCGGGCCGGCCCCCGGCCGCCGCTCCACCCCCGCGGGGGCGGGGCCGGGCCTCGGCGAGCGGGGCGCGCGGGCGGCCAGCGCGGCCACGGCTGCCTGGCGCGCAAGGGGCGCTCGCGGCCGCCGCGGCGCCAGCCCCCGGCCCCGCGCTCGGCGCTCACTTTAATGTTGCGCTGACCCCCCGCGCCCGGGGGCGCCTCGCTGCCCGCCCCCTCCCCATCCCATCGGGGCTCTCGGCCTGCGAGACCCCCGCCCCGACCACCCGGCTTTATGTGGTGGCCCCGTCACCACTGCTGCCCCCGGCACGTCACAAATCCGGGGAGAGGCTGGCCGGCCGGGTGCCCCCAAGTCCAAGAGGCTCCCCTGGGAGTCGGTCAGCTCCTCCCGGGTCTGGCCCGGCTGGGACGCACGGCCCTGCGCGTCGCCCGGGAGGAAACCCCGGGGTTCCGCTGCGCTCCACTCGGGACGCCGGCTCCCCGATCCCTGCGTCTTTTCTTTTTTTACAGAGTTCCTCTTTCTAACTTGACTCCCCCACTCACCCCCAACTGGCTGCCTGGCCTCTGCGGAATCTCTGTTGCCCTGGATTTCTTAAAGGTTTTAAAGCCTGTCTCCAACTTGGTATTTATTTATTAATTCTGATGTCTAAAGACTGTGATCAAAGCTATACCGAGCTCTTGGCAGCGGTCAGCCAGGCGCTGTGGGGCACTAAGAAGTTCAAAGGATTATTACAAAGCAGCAAGGAGCGAGGAGGTGGACAAACACCCGCTCCTTGAAGACCAGCTGCGGGTGACGGCCGCTTACAGTCCAGGGTGGGCATTGAGGCCATCACACAGAAATCACAGCAAGACCAGAACCCAGAACCAAACCAAATATCCCCTGCATCTAAGTGGCTTATTGTATGGCACAGGCCAGAGACTCCAGACAGGAAAGTCAGAGCAAGCCTCTAAGTATAGTCTCCTGAGTTAGGCCCCGCTGCTTGCTCATCATGGGGGTCTTCAGTTGTGCACTTGTGACTTGGGAGTGAGCCTGAACTTATATGGTGTTGAGAAACACAGCTTTGTGCTTTGTGTGTGGACAACGTGGGAAAGTTTTTATTTCTGGCAGGCACCTGCTGATTAGTCCCACAGGGCCCTTTCTTTTGTAGTCACAGGGTTACCTGCTGAAGGCAGTCTTCCTGAGCCTGCCTCCCTCCTCCTCTTCCAGCTCTGGTGACCAGCAAGGGCATGGATCAAGGCTGCATGGATATCCTTCTCTGCAGGTTCAAAATACAGCTTCACTCCTTTCTTGGCAAAGTGGGCGGATTTCCTGACCTTGGCTGCAGTTTTGAGCACCTGAGGTCTTTTCTGAACACCCAGACTGAGTTGACAAGATAGGTGAGTCAAGTTACTCAATCTACATAAACTCCTTGCTGGCCTTTGGCTACCCTTTGGCTGCCCTTGCTGGTCCCCAGAACTGGGTTTCACTTGGAGAGAGCTGTGCTTGTCCTTTGGGTTAGGGTGGCTTGAGAAAACCCTGTGGTGTTGATGTCCCAAGTCCAGCATTCCCAGGAGTCTCTCCTGGGAACCACAACAACAGAGTTGATAAGGGGAGGGCAATCCTGAGGAAATAAGGAAATTACCCCTCTCCTTCTCCCCCCAAATCCTTTCCCATCATCCCCTCTTCCCCAACCCCATACAGGTTGCAAGACACTAGGGAACTAATGGTGGGGAGGGGTGTTGCTATTTCTTCTTTTGACCCATGCACCAATATTTGTGTGGGCATAGGGTGTGGGGGTGAGGTACACAGTATCACAGCTCAAACTTCCAAAGAACTGTTCTTGCCACTGCAAAACCCCTTCACTGTTATTTTCCAGAGAGACAAGACCCTGGCCCACTAGTGACTGACATTATTCAGGGGAGTAAGAGACTGCAGGAATAAGAACAAGGAACAGCCATGACTGTGGTCATGATAATGGCCAAAATAAAAGACATATAGTAATGTTTTTATTTTTTAATAAATTGAAATCTCTCATATAAGAGCTTAGGAAAAATTTTGATAAAGATTGCTGTTATTTGCTAGCTTGAAAATGCTACCAAAATAACTTGTTGATAAGGTGAAGCTGAGTTTACTTTTCCTAGAGCAAAGGAAACCACTGCCGGGACAGTCTAAGTTTTTTCTTGTAATAGGCTCACTGCTTCATGAGCACAGAAGCAAATTATGACACTAGAGTAAGAAGAGAAAAAGCTTTGTGAAAGTCATCTGCAAAGAAGGCAAGAGGAAAAGCTCAAATTTGCCTCCCTGAGGATGGGGCTTTGGGCAATACATATGGGCAATATTAAGGGGTTGGGGAACAAAGTATAGAAAACCGTAGTTGCTAGAGTGTGATTGATTACTTTTCCCTGAATTACGGTGTAACTCAAATTTGGGTTCAGAATTGCAATAAAACTGAGTGCTACGACTTCTGAAAGATGTCTGTTTAACCATGAGCCAGGCATTGTAATTATATTTTCTTAAGGCTATTTTTTGTTCTGGGGAGTGAGAAGTCAAATGTTCTTCTGGACCTACGCTCTGAAACACAACTGGATAATGTATGAAAAATCTTGGGTTTTTCCCTTTAAAATAGATATGGGTATTTTTGTCCCATTGTTTTACTCTCCTAAGCCAGCCCTGCTCATCTTGCAAAATAAATATAAACAGAAAAGGACCACCATGGTTTCATTAGTAGTATCTCAGAGAGAGTAATGAAATTCACAGGAGGTAAATCGACCCCTGACAAGTGGATTAAGCTAAGTCTGTAAAGAGTGTATAGCATGAGGTACCATCTGTTTTAAAGGAAACTCTAAAGCCAAGGCTGACACAAGCCTCAAGGTTTAGCTGCTGCCCCTAGAAAGGTGGGGAAGCTTTTACCGCTGGTTTGCCAGACAGGCTGTCGTAAGCTATTGGTGTTCAATTTCATGAAGTTAGGGGCTTGTTGAGATCTCTCATACACTTATAGGTAGAAAGGTTTATGATATTTACTTAGACCCAGAATGAGAGAGAATGTTGAAGAACTATGTTGCACTCACAAAATGACTGTTCATGTTCCCAGGGAAAATATTTGGTTACTGAGGGGTTGGGTAAGTCAAATAATGGTGTGGGAATTTCAGAGGAGTTAGGGACACACTGCCTGCAGTGGCCAGTGAGACCCAGGAATCCTTATAATTGTCTCTTAGTTATTAATGATGGACCCTTTGTACAGTTGATTGTCTAGAGTAAGGGATTTCCCTCCATGGGATAAATCTCCTAGGTAATACTTTGCTTTAACTTCTGTATGAAACTTTTTATCTTCTTTAAGCTAAAAGAGTAAGAAGATAGATGAATCACTCTTAGAACTCAGTTCATCTTTGGAACACAACAAAAGTTATCCACATGCCGGATAAGAATAGATTCGCAGAGCAATTTAAGCCTCTGGAGATGGTGGTTGAGGACCTGTGATCTGAGGAAACTGATACATAGCTGTCCAGTTATATTGCTGATTTTCCCTAGAAAAGCCAAATGAACACTGACTATATTAATTTAAGGAAATACCAAAGAAAGTACAACATAGAGCTACAAAGACTTCTTAGGCCCTGAAGATAAAATAGTATGAGTTTGGTTCTAAAGGGAAGCAGATAGTGAATGATTTTTTTATGGCTCTGGGGCCCTAGATGAATTTATGTTCTTGCCCGCTGGGTTTTTTTTTTTTAAAGATCTATTTATTCATGCATACAAGAACCGGGGTACATTCTAGAGGTGCAGGAGAGTTAGAAGATTCACCAGAGACAGAGCCAGGAACAGAACAGGCAGACTGATCGAAATACACTGCTGAGGGGAGCAGCGCGTGAGACAGGAGAGGTCTGCCGCACCATGAGGGTATCTCGCCTGCCAGCTGGGATCAAACCCATGCTACATAGGCTGGGGACAGCTTCATAGCACTGCGCTCAACCGCCTGCGCCACCAGGGGAGGGCCCCCTCCACTGGGTTTCTTGATTGAGAAGATGAGTATGACAAGGACTGGGACAAGCTATAAAGACTCCTTTCTATTTACGACTTTATATTATCAGTTTTATTCCTTCTATGGCACCTTGTTTTGGAGGCTATTGTGCAGGTTTGGGTAGAGGTTCTCAGAGGGTCAGGCTGAACATTGCTGGGCATAACTGCAGCAGATTATCAGTAAAATTATTTGCCTACCACATAGCTTCAATCTATGCTTGCTTTCTACACAAAAGTATTGGTATAGCAATATCTAAATTAGCCAGCACTTCATTATGAAGGTCTCGGAGGACTGGTCTCTTGAAGAGGCCATCAGAGAGCATTTAATGTGGCAGTTCCAAATACACAATAAATCCCTTGCTATTAAGTTAATGAGTTTACTCTGTCACAAAGGAGAAAAGAACATTCCTTGGTTAAAGGTTCAAGGTTGACAGTCAGGACTGGTGAAGACTGAGATATCTATAGATACATGACCACAGCAGTTTGTTGACTCTGAGAAAGAGGGTATATAATAGTGTTCAGGTTTAAATTATTGTGTTTATATCAACCTCAAAATTGTCAGTGTGTCCTGTAATTTTGAGAGAAATTTTTTCTTGTGGGTTTAAGGGTAGAAAGGGAAATTGAACACCTTTGTTGATAACTTTTTCCCCCTTCAGTTTCATTTAATCTTTTCAGTTATCTTTATTATGCCATTTATTTTACTGTATCTGGGTTTCTTTTCTACTTCTTTAACAGTCATACGGGCCTAGCTTATGCTGCGGTAACAAATAATCCTCCCAAAATCTCAGGGCTTTCAATAACAGAGTTTATTTCTCACTCATGCTGCCTGTTCCATCCAGGTTACCTGGGTCTTTCTCCACATTGTCTTTGCCCTGGGGTTCAAGGTGACAGAGCAGCTAGTCTAGAACATTGTCAGTCATTATGGCAGAGGAAAAAGAAGCCGTTTGGTCAACTATGTGCTGACTCTTAAAACTAATGCTCAGATATGTCAATACCCATTAACTATCTTTGTGAATACGCTCCCAAATCATATTTTAACTTTGTGAGATAGAATCTTAGCTCATTTATTTTCAACCTTTCTTATTCTCTAGTATTTGCATTTAAGGCTATAAATTTCCTTCTGTCAGCTATATACCATGAGAAGTGAGCTGTAAAAATTTTGTTAACATTCAATTAAAAATATTTTCTAATTTCCCTTGTGATACATTATTTGACCTAGTGTTATTTAGAAGTGTTTCTTAATTTAAAAAAAAAAGTGAAAATTATTTTTCTAGTGTAACAGTCGTGTGTTCCAGTTAATGACAGACCTCATATATGGGTGGTCCCATAGGCTACACGATGTAACTCAGGGATATGGGCTGTATGTACCATCTAGGTTTGTGAACTCTATGACATTCACATGACAAAATCATCTAATGACACATTTCTCAGAACTTACTCCCTTGTTAAGTGACATGTGGCTGTACTTTGTATGATTCTGAGTCTTAGACTGTTTTTAGACCTCACTTTCAACCATATTATCTTGGAAGAAGACCCTGAACCTCAGATGACACTCCAGCCCCAGCCAACACTGTGATTTCAGCCTGTGATACTCTTAAGCAGAGAGCCTAGACTGCCTGGACTTCTGATCTACAGAACTGTGAGATATAAGTGGGTGTTGCTTAAAGTTGCTAAATTTGTAGTGATTTGTTATGCATAAATAGAAAAATAGAATACAGTGTTTCTGCAAGTAAATAAATCACTCAGTTTTTCTTTGTCTAAAATGCCTTTTCATGTTACCCTTGAAGGATTATTTTTAGCTGGATATAGAATTTTAGAGTAGCAGTTTTCTTTTAGGGCTTTGACTATATTACACTGTTCTCTGGTTTCTACTGTTGCTATTGAGAAGTCAGCTATCTGTCTAATGGATGCTCTTTTTGAAAATTATCTATCTTCCTCCTTTACCTATCTTTAATATTTTTTGTTTTGTTTTCTGCAGATTTTTAATTAACTTACCCAATGGTAAATTTCTTTTAGTTAACTTTGCTTGTGATTGACAGTTCTTAATTGATTCTGAGTTTGAAGTCTTTCATTAGTTCTGGAAAATTGTTAGTTATTATCATTTCAAATACTGTCTCTGCTCATTCTCTCCTCTCCTCTTGGGATTCCACCTAGATATAAGGCCTTCTCACTGTATTCTGTTTCTTAACCTTGTTTTATATTTTCAAGCTTGTCTTTCTTTACTTCATTTTAGATATTTCTTCTGCTATATTTTATAATTCATTGATTCTCTCTTGTGGCTAAACTGCTGTTGAACCCACCCCTTGTTGTAATATCTCTTGTGTTTTTCTATTCTAGAATTTCTAGTTGATTCTTTTTCCAATCTGTTATTACAGAGGGAAGTCTTCCTTGACTCCTCCCCATCCTCACTTATTTACATGCCTCTCCTGTGTGCTCCCATACAAGCTGGGCTTCAAGGCATTTATCATATTGTCCTACATTCTCTCCCTGATTAGACTGTCAGTATTTTGAGAATAGTGGGTACCTTTTCCTCTGTTTCTCCCGTATTTAGCACAGTACCTGGGTGAGAGCAGTTACTCATTAGGTGTAGTGGAACTCAACTGAACTTTAATTAAAGAAACCTCCGTCTGCACTGCCCCACTCTGAAAGGTGGCAAACCTTCAGTACTGTCTCTGCTACTCACAACTGCTCTTTCTGTGAGGAGAGTCTTCTATGGAAAGAATGCTAAGCGACGCTGGTTTCTGCAGAGAGACTGATGTGGGGAAACAAAACACACAGAAATAAGAGATAAGGGTACCTCAAGTAAGTTTCTGGGAATGAGCAGAAATTGTTGGATAAGCTCAAATTTTTTCAGGCTTGGAACTTGCTAAGTTGAATCCCAGTACATTCAGACCACCAAGGATCAAGGTGCTCCGAGCTGACCTCTGGGCGAGACTGCTGTAGTGTATCCAGGAACTCAAGGCAGAGTGTTTTTGAAGAAAGGAATCTTGTACTACCAGTACGCTGACTTGTGGGTTGTATCCACCAAAGCCACTTTATTTTGTCCTCCACTGCCTTGTAATCCCTTCCAATGGGGGTTGGGATGGTTTTTTTTTTACTGGCTGTGAGTGAAAATGTTACCAAGTTCATAAATTTTCTGGGCGCCCTTAGGTAAAAGTACAAGGGTCATTTTCAGTCACAAATGTAGACTTAGTTCAGTACTTACAGGGATTCAGTCCAATAAACTAATCAATATTTAAATCTTCATTCAAAGATTTCTGTCCCATTTCCCCACAGCTAGGGCCCCATGGCAGGTGGGCTCTCTGCAGCTGGGGAGGGAGCCATGTTCTCTTTCATTTTTTCTCCATCTAGCTGCTCTTTCTGACCTTTAAGGTTGAAATGGGGAAAGAAAGAGGGGGAAGTAGGACATTCCTGGTAAAATGACTTTAAGTTTCCTACATCTAGAGAACCATAGGTCTCTTGGAAGATGTTTAAAGTCAACTCTAAGGGACCTTGGAGAGGTGCTGGGAGACTCCCCTGCTGGGCTTTTCTGATTCATCATCCTTTCATTCACTGGCTTCATCCTGTCCCCTGCTCCCTAAAGCCTCCACCCACTGGGACTCTCTTCTCACTGGCCACAGTCTTGGTCAGGCTTCTCTTTATATGGTCCCCAGGATTCTTGTCTCATTTGACCTGTACTCAGTGGCATATCAGGTCTCATTGACCTGCCTGTTCTCACGTCCAGGCCCTGGTCTCTGCTAGGGCTGCTTAACCTTCCAGAACCAGCCAGCACCAGGCTAGCGTGTGTCCAGCAGCTGGGAGTACACATGAAACTCCTCAGGCGGGCATGACAGTGCCCTTGAAACCTCTTTCAGACTGGAGGGGTGACCTCTGAGATTTTCCTAAGAAAGTCCCTCCAAATTCCCGAGTATCCCCTCTTCTGACTTTTGCATCCTCTCCCTGGGTGAGGGAATCTAAGAGATAACTTGATTGAAAACTTCCTTTGAAAATCTGCATCTTGGGCCTCCCCAGGGGCACAGCAGTTGAGTGCTGGGCTGCGAAGCTGCCCGCAGCCTCTGCAGCACCGGTTCGATCCCCGGCAACCGGTGAGGGTCCCACATGGGGGGCAGACCTCTCCTGCCGCGCTCGCTGCTCCCCTCAGCAGTGTCCTCCGTCTGTCTGCCTGCTCTGCTCTCTGCTCTGACTCTGGCGAATTCTCTCACCCTCCCACGCTTCCGACTGTGCCCAGTGCTTGTATAAATAAATAAATAAATCTTTAAAAAAACTTACATTTAAAAAAAAAAGAAAATCTGCATCTTTATGGTCTACTTACACCTTACTTCGCTGTTCAATAACCATTATATCTGGGAATAGCAATCAAAACTTCCAAATTCCTGTTGTTTTTTATTGAAATTAAAACATTGTTTTTTTCTGATTATAAAATTAAGGCATGCTTCTAATAAAAATTAGACCTGTACATAAATATAAAATGAAGTAGTGACTCAGTGCAATACTGTCCCATTTTTTCTTTGAAACATTTGTACTTTAATAACAAAAAAGGGGTTATAATGTATATGAACACCAAGGAGTCTTTTTCCTACCACCACAAGAATATGGTGTCCCTGCATCCCCTATATACCTAAAACTATCTTGGAGTGGAAGAGGACAGAGAAAAGTGGAGAGACCAAGCATTTACCTGAGGAGACTATCTAAATGGACAGTTTACATTATTGAATCCAGCTGATTTAGTGAACTAAATTTAGTTTTTGCTCACTTCACACTAAGAGGGGTGCTTTAGAGGAAATAAGATCTGTTATAGAAAAATCAAAAGGCTACATTTGTGTTTGCACCAGCGAGTACTGTGTAAATGCAATTGCTGGGTTTGGGGGTACGTACCTTTTAAGTCTTTTGATAAGCATTTCCAGTGCATACTTTCCTCCAATATACTTGTAACATTGGTTATTTACATTTTTGCCAGCCCAATAGGTCAAAATTAATAATTGAGACTTTCTTTGATTTATAATATGTTTGAGCAAATTTTGCATTAGGATATGATATTTGTTAGTCACCAAGGCAATATGCACCTTTGGCCCAACTGTCTATTTTGATCTCCCAATAAAATATGAGTAAGTTTTGTCCTGGGCTCACTTTTCAAAGAACCAAGGCTACAACAAGTGGGTTCCAGAGTGGACCGTTTCTTTTCCAGGCCCCAGGACATAGTTGACCTGTTTGGGGGCGGGAGACGGGTAAAAGATTAAAGGAGACACTTCCACATGGGACTTGGAGCGGCCAATATCAGGGCTGCTCTAGGCCTGATCTGTCACCCTATGACCTTCTGGGAGAAAATGCCCCATTCATTCAAAGCCTCACACTGAAGGATCAGTTACTTCAATCTCCATCTATCTCCAATGTGCAATTTACCAAAAACTTAAGAATGTCCCTTTTGAAAACAATGAATATTAAGCTATTTTTTTATGAATATCACTCACATGGAATATTTAAATTCAAAGTAATAATTTATTCTCAAATATTCTAATTCAACCACTCATATTCAATATATTCTAGAATATATTTTTCTTAGTGAACATGAATAGTCCGTTTCTTTCAAAACATCTTGAAATGATGGTGAAATAAATAACTTGGAGAGTTAATCAGAGAGAGAAGCTTACAAGAAAGGGAAAATTCTCAGTGATCAAAAAAAGAAGGTGGAGCCAAATTGGGGGTAGGGGAAAGGGAATATTGGATGAGCTGACAATGAGGCTTCCCTGGGGGCTTACTGGTCTCAGGAACCAAGGAGTTTTAACTGACATGTTGCAGTAAAAGAAGAGATCTTGAGTTAACAAGAGTGAAGGCTTGATACTTCCATAGAACCTGAGGCCTCTCAAAGGGCTATACGGTCCAAGAAAGTATGCATCAGAAACAAAATCTGCAGAGACATAAAGAAAACACAGGAAGCTGTATCTCTTGGCCTAGTCTTTTTTTTTTTTTTTTTATAGAGGCATGTTTTATTTATTTATTTGTTTGTTTGTTTTTGTTTATACATGCACTGGGTACAGTCAGAAACGCAGGAGGGTGAGAGAATTCACCAGAGCCAGAGCAGGGAGCAGAGCAGGCAGAAGGACCGAAGTACACTGCTGAGGGGAGCAGCGGGCGGCAGGAGAGGTCTGCGCGCCATGTGGGACCCTCCTCCGGTGGCCGGGGAGCAGCCGGGGATCGAACCGGCGCCCCAGAGGCCGCGGGCAGCTTCGCAACCCAGCGCTCAACCACTGCGCCACCGGGGAGGCCCTCTTGGCCTAGTCTTGATGGAAAAAAAATATTTCCCAGGAGAATTTAAAATTAGTCTGCCCTTATTCAGGTCTAGAATAGACCTAGAATAGACATAACTTATGTAAACCCAGGACCCCAAGTTGAAAAATTAATTTAAGAATGGATATAGAGCAGATAGAAGTAATCAAACTGAGCATCTAAAGTCACAAAATGCAGGAAGAAATAATCTACTGGAAGTAACAGCTGACAAATTCTGTAGTGGGAAGTGATACAGACCTGGTCTAATAGGGATAGCATCAGCCTGGCACAAATATTCCACAGTTAAAATCTCTGCATCGTCAGAAGAATCTGCCAGTTGCAGAACTCATTCTCCTTTGCTTACTGGAGCCAGTCTGTTCAGGAACACACTGCACAGACTAGATTCTTTGCTAGATGCCAGCTGATCAACTAGCCTCCCCACCCCAATAGCAAACCAAAATATCCAAAAACTTACTGTTCCCAGTGTGTTTAGTTTCTTCTTCTCCCTCTCCTCTTATAAATCTTTTTTTTTTTGACAAGTCTAATGACTATTCTTTTAAAAATGTGTGTGTGTGTGTGTATAAAATTTGCATAAGGTATACTCTGATAGCCTAAAAAAATACACAAAATAGCAAAACTAGACCACAGTAACTTCTATAGAATTATCAGACTATAGAAAAAGTGTGCTTAAAGTAATTGAAGACTGATTGCTAAGTATTTCGTGTTGTGGTTGCTATTGCAATGGTATTTTAACATTTTGTTTTCCATTTATTTGTTGATAATATATGGAAATAAAATTCATTATTGTAATTGACCTTATAGTCTATGACCTTGCTAAAAATGATTTAATAGCAATATTGGCTTCTTTTGTAGAATCTTTAGTATTTTCCATGCGCATGATCATGTTATCAGAAACTTGAGTAAGAGGGAGAAGTAGAAAGCCCTACCACAGAGTCTTGATTCAAGCAGATTTTATTGACATCAGAAATCTGAATTGTCCCTTGTATACTTTTATTGACTGTTTTATATCCTGGAAGAATGCATCTTAGTAAGATTCAAGATGGGATTTTGTGGTGTAAAGAGGGAGGAATGGAGTGGGTTGGATGAAAGGTAAAAGATGAGGTGGGGAAAAAGAAGTGGCCTTATGCTCTAAACTGGTTTTTGTCAGGCAGGTCAATTTTAGCCAATAGTGCATATGAAAATGGAGGGCCTAGAAAACAATCTCTAAAACTGCGTGGGCATTCCCTATAATGTCCTACTCTTCAGGTACAGTCTTACTAGGGATGTCCTGTGTGAACAGTGGCAGATCATGATGGGAATATAAGATGAGTTAAATAGCTCTGCTGGCTATAAGCATAAGAGAGCTTTCCAAAAAAAAAAAAAAAATAACATACTTAAAACTTAAAATCCTCATTTCAAACCATATACTCAGAGTGTCTTGAAAGAAACTTTTTTTTTTTCCCCCATAGAGATGTTAAACCTCAGCAGCTAAAAATCTAGATGCAGTATCTGGTTTATGATGTGAACCATACTACAAAAAATGAAGCTACAAATGAATCACATCACTTATGAGAAAGTTATGGCATTGGCTAAAAACACATGGAAACTTGGGAGTTAAAATGGGGAAATCTAGATGGAATCAGAGTGCCTGGAAATGCTCAAACTCACCGAGTCTCCTTTGCTAGCAGAAGCAGCATCTTTTACTCTCTTCCATCATCTGATCCCTTGCTTGAGCCTTCTATTAGCTGAGCCACCAGGAAGCCAGCTGACTGGAGAGGCTAGGAAATGCAACCCACTGGGCTCAGCCCCCTTGGGAAACAACACAACGGGAATAGAGTGAGTAAAGCTCGGAGGGCAAATACACCCAGGATAGGCCATGTCCTGTGCTTTTTGCATCTGCTGCTGCTAATGTCTGAAGTCTTCCCAGGGCCTCTCATCACCAGGTTCTCTGCATTCTCCTCATCCCGTCCACCAGGTCTCATCCGGCATGCTTTGCTCTCACCCCCGGCTCCCTTGGAAGGCTTGGGAGTTCTTGTCCCCTTTTCCTAAACAGGCTAGGGATCAAGGGCTTCTTGAGGAGTCTCTCAGGCTTTTCTTCCCAGATGTTACCCTCAGTATTGCTTCTCCACTGTTTACATTCCACATGGGGACCCAGAGGACTTGCCATCTCATGGAAATCACCAAGAAAACTGGACTCTACCCTGGATTCCTCTCAAAGCTGACCCGAGTCCTGAGTTCTTAAACCAGTTTGTGATCATTTTTAAAGTGTTCTTGCCCCAAAGAGTGTCTGCTGGAGTGAGAGCTAAGAGAAACCAGGTATCAAGAGAGGCCCCAGAATCTTCTGACAAAAAGGTGCTGCCCATGTCAAGGAAACTGAGTGAGGGCCCCAGTAGGTGAACCACACAAAAATACTCATGAGGTAGCATTCAACACAAGACAAATAGAGGGCAAGGAAGAGCCAGCTTATTGTACCAGTCTAGTGAGAACTTCCTCATTCCCCTTACCGCTTTCTAATCCATCCTCCTTTCAACTCTGGTGTGGTCATAAACAGCAACTAGCAAGAAGGGGAACAGTTGGTGATTGAGAGGAACTTGGTTTTTTGTTAGATAACTTTCTGTTCTATTTTATTTTCTAGTCACATCCATCTGCGACCTAGGTGCACAGTTTTTTAATTAAAGTTCAAGAAATAGACATTAACCACTGTATATAATCAAATAATTATACATATTCTACCATGTTAAATGAACTTCACTTTCATCTGGGCCTTCAATTCAGGTCAGAAGTCTTCTGTCTTCCTTAGGCAGCTGCTTTCCCAACAAAACAATGATTTCAAACTTCACCTCACTCAATCAGTGCTCTCTCACAAAACAGCCATCTTCCTCCTTCTCAGGCTAACCCCCCTCCAAACCTTGTTTAGATTCTCTCCTGACTCCTCGATAACCTTATTCTTTCCATCGTCCACTCTGCTGTCTCTTCAATCACATCTTTTCTGGCCCTTTCCCAAAAGGATTTATAAACATATATAAGACCCTCCATCTTAAGACAACCCTTCCTCGATCCTGCAACCCCCTTGAGTTACTTTCCTCTCACAGTCCCTGCTTGAAGACTTACCCTTACTTGCGGTAGCCAGTGCTTACCTACTAGCCACTCATCCACCCACCACAGACTGGCTGCTGCCCAGAGCTCCACATTAACTGTTCTCTGACCCCCCACACTGACAAACTCAATAAACACTGGAGTCCACATCTTGCTTGACCTCTTGACCACTAACGAATGCTTTTCATCACAAGTCTTACAGTGATTTATACATAGACATTCTCCCCATATGACAGGCCATTTGGAGGTCTGCAGGTCCTGGTTCAGCAGCCCCACAGTGTTGAGAAGACTTTCTAAAATTTTCCCTGCTTCCTACATGGCTGAGGATGACTGCTGAAGTGATACCTGCCCACTCAGGGCTGGGAGAAGGGAAAGGTCTGCATCAGTCACTTGTCTCTTCTGTCAGAAAAGCAAAAGATTCCTGTTAAGACTCATTGCCCACAACTCTATTGTGACCATTTAGCTGCAAAGATGATAGGAAAGTGAGTGTTTCATGTTCTTTTAGTCTTTACTGTGGAAACAAACAAGAGTGAGGAGATAAAAATGGAAACTGGCCTGCCACCCAGTCTGATGGCCCAGAGTTGGCCTAGTACAGCTCTGTGGTCACCTAAAATTCACTCTCCCATATACACATATTCCACGGAATACATTCACTCCTCCATAAAAGAGAGAATTCTAAAGTCTCCGCTAGTCCCTAAATTCTAAAGTCTCCTAATTCTAAGCTCCTAATTCTAAAGTCTCAGCACCTGCTTGGAGTCCAGGTGCTCTGTACACTGTTGCAGGCTCCTCTTTCAGGTACAGATGTAGCTTCTCAGGGTCTGATGATTGAAGTGAAAGGACAAGTTCTAAGATGGAAACTACCAAATGTTGGGAAGAATGAGGAACAACAGAACTCTCCTATGTTCTTCCTGGAATACAGATGGATGCAATCACTTGGAAACACTTTGGCAGGACCTAATAAAGCTGAGCATCTGCATTCCCTATGACAGCAATTCCCCTCCTAGGTAATTACCCAACAGAGCTGTGAAGAGGTTTGCATCAAGACATATTCTAGAAAGTTCAAATAGCATTGTTTATAATAGCCTAAAACTGGGAACTACCCAGGTGTCCAGAAATAGTCGGATCAAGCAGCATACAGAAACGAGCGATCTAAACCTACACACACTGTGGATGAATCTCAAAATAATGTTGAGTAAAAGAAATCAAAGACATATGTTCTGTGTGATTCCACTTACAGAAAATTAAAAAACGGGTAAAACTGCTCTGTGGTGTTAGAAGTCAGAATAGCAATTACCTTTTGGGGTAATGTTAGTGCTTGGAAGAGAGCACAAGGGTATTGGTAAAGTTCCATTTCTTGATCTGGGCACTGATTGTGTGGATGTGTTCAATTTCTGAAAACCTATGGAGCTGCATGCTTTTCTGTGTGTGCATATGTCTTTGGGTATCTTAGTAACAAATAATTGAAAATGTATATTTTGGCTTTTGCTCTGGCTCCTGGCACAGAAATCCTAAAACTACCTTGTCATTTCCTAAATGATAAGAGCACTAGAAGCATCTTTTATTCCAATATTTGGTCTTTGATCCTAGTTCCTGACACAGTACCTAAAATCCCTTGGAATTTCTGAGGTGACAGAGTGTCCTTTGTTCTCATGAGAGGACTCTGGGTGGAGTCCTGGATGACTTCAGAATGGCAATTGGTCACCAGAAAGACCAAGTCATGATTAGAAATTTAGAACTTTTAGTCTACCTCCCCCACCTTCCAGGAAGAAGAGAGGGAAAGGAGATTGTCAACGATGGGAGGAAGCCTCCAGAAAAACCCCAACAGTACAAGTTCAGAGAGTTTCCAGACTGGTGAACACATCTGTGTGTCAGGAGGATGGGGCACTCCAACCCTATGAGGACAAAAGCTCCTGCATCAGGACCCTTCCAGACCTTGCCATATATATTTCTTCATTTGGTTGTTCATCTACATTCTTCATGATATCCTTTATTAAACACTAAACTGGTAAACATATGTGTTTTCCTGAGTTCTATGAGCTGTTCTAGCAAATGATGGAATCCAAGATGGGGTGGTGTGCATCTCCAGTTGGTAGTCACATGGGACACATGTAGGCAACCAGGGGACCTATTATTTGTGACTGATGTCTAGACTGGGTAACAGTCTTATAGGACTGAGTCCTTAACCTGCACTAACTTTGGTTATTATCAGAATTAAATTGAATTATAGGAAAACTCAGCAGGTGTAGCAGAGACTTGCTTGGTGTAGGGGAAAACCCCCACACATTTGGTGTCAGAAGTATACAGCATATAGTGTAATGGTAAACAGGAGGGGGTATCTTTCCTATACAATTCTGCATCAGTAAAATGTATAAAAACACATACAACACAGTGTGAAAAAAACAAACAAACAAAAAAATCTTCCTTCAGAAAAACAGGAGAGAATGGAAACATAATATACCTGTCTCAGTAAGCCACAACCCTGCTCAATAAAAATAGCCAGGGGTCTCTTTGGGGACAGGGTATTGAGCTCTTGGTCAGGGAACCCGGCAGTGTCTCCCTTATTCTGTCCTCTGTGCAGAATGAACAATCTGTTGCATCCCACCCCCTCTTGGAGGGAAGTCAGGAGCCCAAGAATTGCCTTCAGGGTTAAATAGTAACAGACCAATGTTGACCAGGCTTGAGATTTTAGTGACAAGATTCCCTCAATTATTTGTTAGGCTTCTGGCCAATTCCAGGCATGAATAATCACAATCAAATAATTTATTAGGGAAGCTTTAAAGAGTTTTCTAATTAAACATTATTTTTTTCCCAACAGGCAATATATTTACTTGCTTTTTTTTAAAAAAAATCAAAGCAATAAAAAAGATGTTAAGATCTTATTCTTACCTCTGTCCTCATTTATTAGTTTCTAGTGCATACTTCTAGTGCATACTTCAAGTGTTTCTTTTTGAAAAACAGGCAAAAGCATGTACTAGAATATTAAGTTTTCTAAGGCTGGCTTTTGTGCACACCTGCAGTTAAGGTGATTCAAAGTAACAGCTGCAGGCAGAGATACCACCTATTTCCCACCTTTGCTACCTTGGAGCTCAATCTTAACGTCTGATAAAGCTGCCTTTTCCCTGACTCCACTGTGCTTGCCTTAACTTGGGCAAACAGAATTGTTTATTTCCACTCAGCAAGGATCCAAGTTGTGGGACTTGGCGAATTTAAGTTGTAAGCTACAAGTAAGAAGTTCCTCTCTTATTTGATTTAGTTTCTACCTTCAAATAAGTTATATGTAATCTTGATAAACTTAACCAGATCCTGGCACTACCTAGAAGGACTACTGAGAGTCACAAAAACACAACAAAAAAATTTAAAAAATTCAACAACACTGAATACCTTTTTTGTAGTTTCTGAGATTTCTTATATAATTAATACAACTTTGGTTGCCATGTAATCTGTATCCAAGGCCCAGCAAATGACAGCAGTTTGAATTTCACTACTGCTTAACAAGTTGGTCATTAACTTTCCAACTGGGAATAGTCTTCACCTCTTGCTACCTTTACCTTCAGATTTTAGTGTCCTACTTCTGATGCCAACTTATTTGCCTGTGAGGAATGGGTTCAACTATAAGGTACAGAACCTACCTATAAATGGCTTAAACAAATGTGTCTTCTCACTCATGGACTGGTGTGGGGTAAGAGTGGAAACATGGAATCAGTTCGGAAGCCCTCACAGTAATACAGGGAGCAGACCATAGCTTCCTGGATGTCAGTTATATCTCAGTGACTTGGGGTGGGGAGAGGGTGCAAAGAATAGCTTCTAGAATTTTGGCTTGAGCAACTAAATGGATGGCAGTGCCAGTCACTAAAATGGACAAAATGAGAGAGGTACCCACTGGGGGCAGGGTGGTGGGATGTGAAATTAACATTTTAGAGGGCAAGTTAACTTTGAGATGTCAGTTTTAGACACTTGGAGGTCAGGTAAGCAGTTATTTAGAGAAGTTAGGACTTACGGCGAGAGCTCATCGTTAGAGATATAAATTTTGGAGTCATCTGCATAGAAATGCTACGTAAAACCACAGGGTGAAGAGCAGAGAAGGAACTCCAGATAAAACTCTGGGAACTTTGATATTTATAGGTTGAGTTGAAAATGAGAAACCAGTGAAAATAACTCAAAAAAAGAAAAAATAGCCAGTCAGATAGGAGGAGGAAAAAAGTGTGTAGTGTCAGAAAACAAAAGAAAGTGTTTCAAAGTAGCAGTGGGTGATTGTGAGGAATGAAAGTAAAAACAAGGAACAGAGAAGGAACCACTATATTTGCATGTAGATACAGTAGCACAGGTGGGAAAAAAACCCAGAAAGCAAGCTTCCATGACCGCCATCCTCTACTAGAGATGGAGCAATTGGTGATCAAGAGAGCAATGGGAGGATAAAATCTACAGAAAAAAGTGGAAGCATTGGCTAAATAGTGAGGACACTATGAGACACTTTCTTGTAGGAACAGATTGTATCTTATTTGTACTTGTGGCTCCTAGCACAACTAGTCCATATTAGTCCTCAGGAAATATTACTGAATTAATGAATAAATAGGCTAATAGAAGAAAGGATGGGCTGCAAATGCAGGGTTGGAAGTAGATTAAACTAAGCCGCTTTCAGAGTAAAGAAAGGAAAGGTGTTCTTGGGTTAAAAAGGTCTCTTTAAGGGTTCTGGGATCCTAGGATTTTTCTCCTGGACAGGCTTAACAGATTTCCAACTCAGAGGAAGATGGGAGAAGGAATTAGGCCCTGTCAAGAGCAGTTGCCTTGGTCAACTTTTGAGGCACTGATCTGCTACAGCAGACTTCAGGGAGGGTTCCCCCAACATCTACTTACTTAACCACTCTTCTGTCTCTCCCTTTCTGTATCCAGGCACATAAAAAAAAAAATGATTATGTATCTTTATAGACACAAATGGGGGAAGGACTTTTAAAAAAATGACAGCCCCAAATTCATTTACCCATTTTGTGAAAAAATATTCACCGAATGGCAATCTTGTATTGAAGTCTTGTGCAAGGAGAAGACTTCGCAGGCTTTAACCTTTTCTTTTTTTGTTTACAGATCTGTTTTTTGGAAGCACTTTGTCTTCTCAAAGCGGTTGATACTACGCACTGTACAGATAGGCTGGTATTTGAACTGATGCATCCTTACAAAGTCACAAAGGGACTGGTAGGTGAGTAAATGGTTACAGAAGCTGATGCAGCTTGCTGAATTAAACAAGATGGAAGTAGACCATTCTTGGAAAAACAGGATCCAAGATCAGTTCCAGTGTCTTCCGGCCATTTCATCAGGTTTGGAATTAGGATCCCCGTTATCTTTCTTCCCAACTTGCAGCCTGAGGCCCTAAAAAGGTGGAGGCAGGGCCTTCCTAGTGGCGCAGGCAGTTGAGTGCAGCGCTGTGAAGCTATCCGCAGCCTCTGCAGCGCCGGTTCGAGCCCCGCCGGCTGCAGAGATACCCACATGGCACGGCAGACCTCTCCTGTCTCGCCTGCTGCTCCCCTCAGCAGTGTATTTCAGTCTGCCTGTTCTGCTCCCCACTCTGTCTTTGGTGAATCCTCTCACCTTCTGCACCTCTGGCCTGTATCCCAGCTCTTGTATGCATAAATAAATAAATCTTTAAAAAAAAAAAAAAAAAAAGGTGGAGGCACCTACAAAGGTGTAGGTGGAGACAGAGCCAGAGCTGGCTTTGGAGGCCGCCCCATCAGTATTCCCCTTGCAACTTCCCAGTCCCAAGGTCTCCAGTTCCAGACGGCGTCCGCGGTTACCTAGCAACCTGCCGGGACCCCGGGGCTCAGGGGGTTCAGGTGGCCCAACCCGGGCCGGAGCCGAGTTCCACCCCGCGGGGCAGCAGACCGGCCCTCGTTGCGCCGGAGCCGCTTCCACGTCGAAGCACCGCCGCGGCCCCCTCCGCGGCGCCGGGGGGCGTGGCCTCGCGGCGCCAATGGGCGGGCAGAAGTGCGCGCGTGCGCAGGGCGCCGCCGCGGGGGGCGGGGCCGGGAAAGCGCTGCGAGGACGGGGGCTGGCGAGGCCCAGGCGGGAGCGCTGCGCGTCCCGGAGCGCTGGCCGCGGGCGTCGCGCGGGTGAGTGAGGCCGGGGCCCGCCGGCCGGAATGCGGCCTCCGAGGCCCGTGGCCGGACCCTGCGGGAGCAGGCCGGTGGGGTGGCTGCCAGGGGTCCGCAGCAGGGCGGGGTTCCGGCGGCTCTTGGGGGGTCGGGGCCTGGGCTCGGGTCTCCGGCTGCGGCAGCCTGGCTGCGGGCTCGGCCCGGCCCCTCGGGAAGGACTGCCGGCTGGAGCAGAGCCGCGCTCCGGGCAGCTGCGCCCGGCACGGAGAAGCCCGGCGGGTCCGGCCGGTGCAGGTCTCCGCCTGGGGGTGACCCTGCGCGCGGCCTGGGGCGCTGCTCGCCCCCGCTGGCGCCCCGGCCCCTCGGGGCACACGGGCAGGTCCTGTCCGGCCGGGCCAGCCGGGCTGGACTGCGCGGGGGCTGGAGGCGGGAGAGCCGGCTTCTCCTGTATTCCCTGCCTGGTCAGGGCAGCGCCGCCCGCCGCCCCCTCCCCCGTGCCCATTGTCCTGTCACCCCCTCCCACCCACGTCCCCGCTGCTCCAGCCCCGGATCCTCTGCTCGGGCTGCCGTCATCTCTCCGGGAGTACTTTCGTCGCCCCCTGCCCGGTTCCCTGCATCCTTTCTTGCTTCTCTTAGCTTGTGAAGCACGAGAGTGCATGTGTCCCAAATGTGATCTAGACACCAGGCCTCTCTGCCCTGTTCCCTTCCTACCTTCTGTGGATTCCCACAGAGCGCATCCGAGCTCTTAAATGGGCCTTGCATGACTGGCCTGTTCATGAGCTGTTTTCTTTTGACTTTAACTCCTCTCTCCACTACACCGTGTCTTAAACCAAATGTAGGTTTTTTTGACTATCCTCCTGTGTTGAACCAAGTTCCTTCTAGGCTTACGTGTTACATTATGTGCCCTCAGTCTGAGATACTATCCTTTAGTTGACAATATTCTCCCCACCCTTCATGTCTTACTCCAGGTATGTGTTGGCGCTTCTGTACTACCCTGTGGTGTCTGTCGTTTTCTCTTTTCCACCAGGCTGTAGTCAGTGTGAGAAGAACCTGTCTGGGTTACTAGCCTCTCCTCAATTGTCTTGTGTTGTGCCAGGCTGTTAGTATGTCTAAATGAAGCATGGCAACACCTCCCAAAAGAATAGATCAATTTATTAAATGCCTGATTTTTCAGAACCAAAGCTCAGCTTCAACCCAGGTTGGCCTAGGAACTTGTTTTTTTTTTTCTTATCTTCAGTCCAGGATCTTGAGAGTTGGGGTGGGCTAGTGCCTGGCAGAATTTTTCTTTGCATTGGCTCTGGTGCAGGATGTCTGGATGTTGGTGAGGGCAGTTGCTTTGAGTTTGAATTCTTAACTGAGTGCCCCAACAAGGGTGAAAAGCTGCTAACAGCTGTTGCGGTCCTTAGGAGAGGAAGGCTGCCTCCAAACTCTTACGTGCTGGTAGAACTAACAACACAATGAGAGGGAAGGGTGGGTCAGGCCTAACCACTGGTGGGAGGGCTCCAAGGGAAAGTTACTATTTCACTTAGGCCAAATCTTCTGCGATAAGGAACAACCAAGACTTTCTGTCTAAATTCAGTTTTGGAGGCAAAATGCCCCAGGTCAGCTCAGCACTTTGTGATAAATTCAGTAGGTTAAAGAGAGAGAAAAAAAAGTAAGTTCCAGTCTTCACAGAGGGAGGTAAAGAGAAAAACAGAAAAGAACAATGCCAGGCCATATGTTAAAGACAAAAGAGTGTGAGAGGCTGCAGACAGAGGTCAGACATCAGACGAGGGAACAGTTGATTTTGGCTAAAAGAATCTTGAGATGACAGTTGAAGTGGGCCTGGAAGGAAGAGAGGATGGGCAGATCAAAACAGTGGGACTGGGAGAGGCTGCTGGAACAGTGAAGGGAACCCCAGTTACAGCCCAGGCACTGTGGGGGACCTAGGGACTATAGTCCCCCACTTCCCTCCCAGGACTGAGGCTTTTCCTTGTGAAAAAGATGTCTCAAAGCAAGGGTGTGTTCTGAAGTCTCTTTCAGAAATCCCTCTTTGCATTTTTTTTCCCAGTGTGACTTTTACAGTTTCTCCTAGGGTTTATCTGGGGGTTATGTTTGCACATGACCTTGAGCTAACTAGTTGGTTGTGGATGATGCAACTTGTTCTTTGGGTAAAAAGAGTTGCTTGTTTCCTTTTGAATGTGGCAGTTTAATGTGTTGGGTGGCAATCAGGTTCCCTATTCTCATTGCAGTTCTTAGGGGTGGGGAAGGGGAGTTTCTCCTCTTTTATAGATTTGACTTTTGTTCTTACTTTCTCTCTCTTTAACAACAACAACAACAGGAATCAAAATGGGACACTTTCAAAATCTTTGCTCTTGGCCTTTATTCCTGGAAGACGGATTAATTTGGTCCTAATCACTTGGTAGCTTTTTTGGTGGTATTTGACTAGAACCCCCCCCCCTTTATACACCCCAGTTTCATGTAGTAAGTTTCCAACTACAAATGGTACAGTGGGTTCATTGATCCCTCATTGGATCGATAAGATTTATTTATGCATAGAAGAACTGGGGTGTAGGGCAGAGGTGCAGGGGGTGAGAGGATTCACCAGAGACAGAATGAGGAACAGAACAGGCAGATGTACTGAAATACACTGCTGAGGGGAGCAGCAGGCCGAAACAGCAAAGGTCTGATGTGCCATGTGGGTTAGCTCCCTGGCTGGGGATTTAACTCATGCTGCAGTGGTGATAGCAATGAGACTTAACCCTTACACCACCAGGGAGGCCCCTAAAAAAGTAGTTTTATCCTCATTTACATTGACATCAAAACTTATTGGCAGATCTATAAGGTGGTAATCCTCCCACCTCTCACCCCAAGAAATATGGTATACAAACTGAAAAGCATCAATGTCTGCCAGGCACTTTACTCACTGCTGGGCGTGTCGATCAGTCCCTGACCTCACAAAGCTCAGTCCAGCTTTTTGAGGACCTACAGGTAAGCCTTGTTTAAGATCATGTTCATAGCTGGCGGCAGTGATGAACTGAGCACGTGGAAGCATATGGGAAGAACACCTAAGCCAGACTTGGTATACTAGTTTGGTAGGTGCATCAGGAATTGATTTCTCTCTCTGGTCCTTCCTGTCTGTGAACTCTAAGATATGTGGCCTGAATAAGCTGCTGTGCTCTCACCTGGGCGGTTACTGCTGAGCGTAACTTAAGATCTTGCTTTCTGGTAACAGATATGGTTCAATGGCCTCTTCTGGGACTGACTGAACACTTTCATTTGGAGAAATTGCAAGTGTAATTTTGGGCTATTCTTAAACTATTTTCTAGCGGTAAGAATGAACTGGAAGCCCATTTTTTGCTCCATCCATATTGTATTAGAACAATTACGGGATAAAGTACATTATGTACATATTTGGGGGGGGAAGTATTTATAGTAGAGATTTTAAAAGCATTAGTAAAGTAAAACAAATCAAAATCATTCCTAATCTTTTGAGTCATAAAATAATCATTGTTTCCAGGTATTGTTCTGTGTGAAATATATATATGCGTTGTTTTCTTTTACAAAAGTGAATGAGACTTTTGCAACCTGCTCTTTTTCATTTGACATATATTAAACATATTTTCCTATTATTGACACATTGTATTATGATACCCCTATTCAGTGGTAAGAGTAGACACTATTTTTTAGCACCTGGAAGTTACACACCCAGTGACTATTGTCTCCTTAGGAGGGGCTGTGGGAGATGATACTGCTGATAGGCAAAATGGGTTTGGGAAATTTTCCTAAATGTGGTAGGCCTTCTCTTAGGACTTCCCCTCAGAACTTTTTCGGATGGCTGAAAGCAGCTGCCATACCTTTACTTCCCAGCCTCAGATGCAGAGAGTAGAGAGATTGTAGCTCCAGACCTGAGCTCTGTGTGTAGAGTGTGTATGACCAGTATCTTATGTTTTCTTTTTGCTGCTCTAGGTTTATGGCTGTGGCTACAGCTCACCCCTTAGAAATTACTGACTGTTGTTAGCCAGCAGAATCTGCTGTGCCTTTTGAGAAGTAAATGTGTAAGTCAGGAATAAGTCTGTATAAGTCTCCTAGCTTGTCCTTCACTTTCTGTAGGCCCCAGGAAGGACCAGGACTTTCAGTTTAGCAAACAGTAAATGCCTACCTGAGCCTTGGTGGGGAATACTGATGAGAACAAAACACCCCCTGGCTTCAGGAAACCTGCTGTGTAGCTGACTGTCTTGTTGATGACCACAATTCATGGTCTAGCCAGAGCCTGGGAGTACCTAATGGAGTCTTAATTTTTACGTAACTCTCCTTTCCTATCTTCTTTCATAGTAGTTACTTTATTTATCTCTCTCACAGCCCTGGGAGATGAAGGAGGCCAAGTTAACTTCCTGTTCTGCATGCGGGCCTTGATCTAACCTGCCTCATCGCTTCCCTTAAGCTCCCCTGGACTATTGCTCCTACCTATAGTGTTGCTGCACTAAAACCTTCCATAATGCTGCCAGATGAACCATTCTGAAACCAAACTTTGATTTCCTTCATGAATCTTCAGTGGCTCCTCATTTATCCTTAGGAAACATCAGCTTCATTGGCCTAGCGTGCAAAGCCACGTCTGGGTCAGCCTGCTCAACCATTGCAGCCTTCTGTCTGCTGTTCGCTGTTCTGTGTACTTCATACCCTCTAGGGTCCAGCCTGACTACACCCCTTGAGTTTTCTTTCCCACTTATCTGTCCCTGCCATGTTGTTCCCATCATAACCCTCGTCCTTCAGACCCTGCACATATATAGCACATACATCTGTCAAGGCCCAGCTGAAGTGTCCCCATGTCTGTCAATCACCGTTCTCTGATTTTCAAGAGAAAATGGAGGAAATGTCTTTCTTTGAACTCTCAGAGGGTTTTAGCTTTCTTCAGCACACCTCACTTCCTGTTTTTTTTAATTTATTAGTGCTCTTGACAGAAATATTTTTCACCAAACTATGTTTCTTATAGGCAGGAATAGTCTCCTAATCCTTTAAGTGCTCCTGAGTCGCTTGGCGTTAGAAGGTGCTTCAGAAAATGTGGATCTGCCCATTTGAGTGCTAGGAACCTGGGGTGTCCAAGGTCATCCCACACTCTGCTAACAGAGTTGGCCTTGGGCCTATTTTAACGTGTTGTGTACCTCAAGTTTCCCAGGGACTCACTGTGGCAAGTCTGGAAAGAATCTTAGCACCGATATGCTCACCTTTATGTTCTATCCCCCACCCCCACCCCCAGGTACCAGTGACCATGAGATCTCTGCGGCTGCTCAGAACCCCCTTCCTATGTGGCCTGCTCTGGGCCTTTTGTGTTCCAGGTGCCAGGGCTGAGGAGCCCAGGGCCAGCATCTCCCATCCCGGTGGCATCGGCCTGGATAAGAACACAGTGCACGACCAAGAGTATGTATTCAATTTGGACTGTGGTCCAGAGCCCCCAACACCCACAGCTGCAGCTTCCCTTCTGTTTGTGTGACTCCTTGATATTTTCCAAGGATGGTATTTATTCCTTATAGCCACCTGTAAGTCAGATAGGCTTTTCATCATCATAGCACAGAAGGATGATCTTGGAATAATGGTGTGCCTGAAGTAATTCAGTCTCTTTCCACCAGAGAGAAAGAGAGAGAGAGAGAGAGAGAGAGAGAGAGAGAGAGAGACATACACACACACATACACACACGGCAGAATCCAGAACAGAGCTGAGGTTTGACTTTGACCTTTTTCTTTTTTGTATTGGCACATTCAAACATTGAATCGTTTGTTGCAACTTTGTTCCTGGGACACCTAGCTTCACATATTTGTTATCCTTGAATTACTTTTAAAAATGGAATTTTTAATTCATAACGTCCTAAAGTGTTATAACAACATTCTAATAATAAAGAGGAAAAAGCATTCATCATCCTCCAAGGCCAGCATAACAGACAAACTGTGTGATCTTTTTTCCCCTCTGTTCCTTTTATGCCCCTGCCTATACCTGTCATCCTTGGTGTGGCCTACCACTGCTTGATTGTTTTTCTGGAAAGGCTAAACATTAAGATCTTGAACTTGAGAAAAAAAAAAAAAAGATCTTGAACTTCTCAGTCCTCAAGGTTTCAGCATGATCTTGGTGTCACTACCATGTGGTCTGAGTCCAACTATTGGTTTTTAGGCATATCATGGAGCATCTAGAAGGTGTCATCAACAAACCAGAGGCAGAGATGTCCCCACAAGAACTGCAGCTCCATTATTTCAAAATGCATGATTATGACGGCAATAATTTGCTTGACGGCCTAGAACTCTCCACAGCCATCACTCATGTTCATAAGGAGGTAGGTCAGGTGTGGCTCAGTGGGAAGCCTCTTGGAAAGGTTTCTGTTTGTTAATTCAGTCCCCGATCTTGACCTGTATGGTCCTTACATAACAATATTGCTACTTCCTTTCTGTTCACCACTCCATTTGGCTTGTTTTTCTGCTCATCATTCCATTCGACCCTTCTCACAAGGGGTGACCTGCTAAGCAGGAGCCCCAAGCCCTTGTATCTTTAAAAGGTGCTCCAAAAATTTCTGCTGCAGACCAGAGTTTGAGAACCAGCACTTAAAAGATAGACCATATTCAAAAATGCAAAGCAAGGGAGAAGTTAGTTATTTAGAGAAGAATGGTGAATCAGGGGACCAAGGGATGAGGGACTTGGAAGTAATTGAGGGTTTATATGACATTGTTCAGTGCTCTGTAGTTTACAGATCCCTTTCAAGTAAGAGATCTTGCTTGATCTTTTTTTTTTTTTTTAAGATTTATTTGTTTATGCATACAAGAGCTGGGACACAGGCCAGAGATGTGGGGGCTGACAGGATTCACCAGAGACAGAGTGGGGAACAGAACAGGCAGACTAACTGAAATACACTGCTGGGGGGAGCAGCGGGTGAGGAAGGAGAGGTCTGCTTCACCATGTGGGTTGCTGCTTGTTGGGCCAGGGATTGAACTCATGCTGCAGATTGCTTCATAGTGCAGTGCTTAACCCCTTGCACCACCAGGGAGACCCCTTGTTTGATCTTTGCAGCAGTCAGTGAGTAGATGGGTAAGTGTTGTTACTACCTCCACTTTAGAGGTAAGGAAACAAACCAAAATCTTCTGTCTTACACTCTGCCACACAGAAGTCTGTAGAGAGGAAGAGAAGCACAGTTTTCAAGGCAGTGAACTCTCATTGGCTGCCAAGAGAGCAGGTTTTGGTTTGCTTTGAAGGCAGTGGGAAGTGCATTTGGGTTTGCGGCAGAATGGCATGACTGGTATAGTGTTTCAGGGAGATCCTTTGCTGTCAGAAGCAGTGTGATGGATGTATGGAGAGCCAGGTGTCAGGTAGAGGCACTGGAATCTCCTAGCAGGTGGTGGTAGGACAGGAAAGGGTGGGTGTGGGAGAGGTGGCAAAGGAAGAAGCAGCCAAGTATGTGAAGAGCATTAGCTCAGTGAGCCCTGCTGCACCTGCTTCTGGAACTGGGGAAATGCTTTTCTTTCAGTGATCCTGACAGGTTCTACGGGTCATCATTGCCGTCTTCCTCTTGTTCTGACCGCAAGGTGGGGACCAGCGCCACTGTTTCCTCCTGTCAGGGCAAATTGTGTCCAGAGCTGATCCTCTGGAGGGCTTGAGCTGTGAGCGTTTCTCTAGGATAGGTTTGCGGGTGGTGGACTCTATGAAACTCAGATGTTAAGCTGTTATGAAGCAAGTAAGCCAGCACCACTTTAGTTGAATCTTTCTTTTAACTGGCAAAGAATTTCTAAATTGGGTGAGTTTATATCTGTCATATGGGAATGGATTCCTAGAAGTAGCCATGTACTACATTGGAGGTTTGGCCACATGAGAATGGACCTTTTGGACATTAGCCAAGTACTTCCAGTGAAATTTACAACTCATCATTGTCTAATTTATATTTTGTAGGAAGGGAGTGAACATGCCCCACCGATGAGTGAAGATGAACTGGTTAAGTTAATAGATGGTGTTTTGAGAGACGATGACAAGAACAATGATGGATACATCGACTATGCCGAATTTGCAAAATCACTACAGTAGAGATATCTGGCCATCTCCTAGTTACATGCCAATGTGACCCATTATAATGTGATTCAGTAGTACAAAATGTCTCATTTCCAATTACTGCTATAGTAATTTGGTAAACACCTGTAGCAGTTTGTTACACTGGGCTAAGAGAAATCAAGGGAAATAGAAGGGAAATGGGACACAGTCCCCACATACTGTTAAATCTCTTATTGGACGAGGACTTGATGAAAAAAATCCTTTCAAGAATATTGGATAATTGGAGCCGAGTACTCAGGAACTTGACTGTAGAGTATTGCTAGTCTCTTGTTTTTAATTCATGCTGCCTGAAAAGTCAGACATGTTTTGCCAAGTGGGCATACTTTTCAGTAACGGTGGAAGAATGAGATGAATGCCAAATGCTTCCCCTGGTGAGCCCTGTCTCTTTAGGTAAATGTGGTCAGTATTCTGCAAAGTTCTCCTGGCCTAAGTGATTACTTGTGGGCAAGTGAGTGTTTACTAGGCAATTTCAAAGCCACAGCCTAAGAAGGATGTCAGCTGTTGAGTTGAGCTAGCTGCAGAGTCTGAGCTTCTATATCTTCTGGCACTTTGGAAATGATACACCACTGACCTAAGTGATTAACCTTTTTCAGTGTTTTATAAAACTACTGCCACATCCATATGCTTTATTTCTTTAATCAAGTATGTAGTATACTATATACCTTATTCCTTATGCTTGATTTCATCTTTAGTTTGGGAGAGACCTTGAATTTAGATGTGTTATCCAATCAGTAACAAATATTTTAGCCTCCTTAATGCTTATATTTAACTTTTGTTTCTAGGGTTTCGTTTTTGCAGTTTAGAAGCTATTAGGAACATAAAGATTTTAACCCTTCTGCTTCATATGGAGGTGAAACTACTGGCTGGTCTAGCCTAAGTGAGAAATGGAAAGATCACTCGCCAAGCACAGTGATTAACTGGATGCAAATTACATTTAGAAGGAATGTTGTTTAAATCACCTCTTTTGACCTGATTATGTGAATTCTTTCCAATTAGAAAAAGCCTAAAAACTCTCAGTGGTGTGAATCTAAGTAGTAGTTGAAAAGGAGAAGCAACAGCAAATGCCATTGGGCTTATTGGATGGGATGGATTTTCTGTGATAGAAAGTCTGTGGGAAAAGTAACTGCATAAAATTTGCTGTAAGATGTATAGAGACTTATTTTCTTTATTAAAAGTATTCTTATAAGAAAACGTGTATTTGTAAAAATGGTTTCCTGTGTCAAGTATTTGTGCAATCAGAGCTGAATTATAAACTATTCTTGTAATACCAGTTATTTTGAAAGATTTATATATGAATTCTGGGTGTATGACCAATAAAATTGATGTAACCAAATAAAGAGCAATTGATATATATTATCTACCTTGGCTACTTTTATCACAAGAAGGGTTTTATTAAATACAGATGTTTATATGTGCCTACTTCCTGATCCTGTTCTTATTGTCAGGTGGGTTCCAGTATTCAAAGTCACTTTCCCCTTTTAGCATTTTTCCTTCTCAGTGAAATCACTTTTTGGACCTTTTTTTTCTGGCCAAGTTCAGAGTATAACAGCATTCTCTACCTTAGGGAAATATAGTGTTTTCTTGATGAGTCTTGTGCCTAATTTTTGTCAGAAAATGTAATTAGATACTGTTATTGAAGGCATCCCAAGTTCAAGTAAAAAGCAGTCTCCTGGCTTTTTGGAAATGACATATTTTGTTCTACTAGCTGGAAAGCAGGAGGGAAGGAGGTTGCCATTACCATCCCTCCCTGCCCCACCCCCAAGATTCCTGTACTAGACCTACATCCAGTGCTGCCATTCTGGATGCATTCGTGAGTGGCCTCACGTTGGAGGACTCTCATACTGTTCGTGCAGACAAGAAGGGAGCTGGGGAGGGAGAGAAGCAGGTCCACAGGGTCAGAGGAGAGAACACACAGGAACCTGGGCCTGGAGCTCCACCCCGAACTGTTGTTGAAGAGACTCCCCTCCCCTTCCTGCCGGGCGTGGACAGTCAGAACTCTCTCTCCACTGGCCCCAGATAACAAGGCCACTCTCACCGCGGTGTCAGTGGAGACCGTGTGAAGAACCCGAACTCCCATCTGCACCCAGCAGTAGTGAGAAATCCCTGGCCTGGGTCTCTGGAAGCCAAGTGGACAGTCTGGGCTTCTCTCTCCATGGGTCTGCAGTGGGGAGCAGGGCCCTTCCTCTGCTGGAATGATGTCCTAGAAAACCAGCTAAGACAGTAAATAAGGTCCAATCTCATTGCATAAGAATGTTCAGGTCCGTCAATTAACTCATCATACCAAGAACCAGAAAGATCTCAAAGACAAAAAAGAGATGGGATACCAGATTTTTTTGGTTAGATATCTGTATTATCTTAGATAATTGGATATGCTAGAATTATCTGACAAAGATTTTATTTTTTTTTTTTTAATAGAGGCATGTTTTATTTATTTATTTGTTTGTTTGTTCTGTTTATACATGCACTGGGTACAGTCAGAAGCGCGGGAGGGTGAGAGAATTCACCAGAGCCAGAGCGGGGAGCAGAGCAGGCAGAAGGACCGAAGTACACTGCTGAGGGGAGCAGCGGGCAGCAGAAGAGGTCTGCGCGCCATGTGGGACCCTCCTCCGGTGGCCGGGGAGCAGCCAGGGATCGAACCGGCGCCGCAGAGGCCGCAGTCAGCATCGCAACCCAGCGCTCAACCACTGCGCCACCGGGGAGGCCCCTGACAAAGATTTTAAAGCAGTCGTGATAAATACTTCAATAATTACAAACCTGCATTGAAGCAAATGAAAAATCCAAAGGTCAGCAAAGAAACAGAAGATGTGATAAAGAACCAAATGCAAAATCAAGTCCTGAAAAACATAGTAACTGAACTGTAAACCTCAGTGATAGGTGAACAGTAGAATGGAGGGGACAGAGGTAAAAAAATCAATGACCTGGAAGATGGCACAATGCTACCTGATCTGACCTTAGAGAAGAGACTAGGGGAGTGGGGGAGTGCATGGAGCCATAGGGACCTGTGGGACTCATAGAAAATCTAACTCCTTCTTCACAGTCCCAGAAGAAAAGGAAGAAGCAGCTGGGACTGAAAAAGTACTCAGAGATCTCCAGATCTTCCATGTTGTATGTCTCTCTTTGTATAGGCTCCTTGAAATGGCAAAATTACAGAAATGGAGAACAGATTAGTGGCTGCCAAGAATTAAGGCAGGGCCAGGCACAGCAGGGAGGCAGGTGTGACTATAAAGGCAGCAAGTCTTCTGTCTCTTGACTCTACTGTATCAGTGGTTGAGACATTGCATTATGGGTTTGGAAGATGCCACCATTGGGGAACTGGGTCAAAGACACACAGGGTCTCTTTCTTATTTCTTAAAACTGCTTGTGAATCCACAATGATCTCAGAAGAAAGTTTAATTAAAAAAAAAAAAAACAGTGTTGAAAGACATGGTCTTTTCAACTCAACAATGGCAATTTTAAACTTGGGACCTTGGGGACAGAGTTAGAATGGGCCCATTGGTTGGGGTTGGAGTCCCAAGGACTGTACTGGCTGTGCTCACAATTAGAGCCTTCTTTCAGAGGCTTTCAGAGAATTTGCTTTGCTCTGCCAGAATCGAAAGGAAACATCGGCACTGGGCATTTTCTGTCCGTGAATGTCTAATTGCCTTCCCACTGGGTGGCTGGGGAAGGACACACAGGTCACGCTAAAAGGCCCAGGCAAAAAGGCCCGCTCAGGGAGGGCAGAGAAAGTTTGAGGAGGTCTTGTACCCCAGTGGAGACAGGGTATGTGGGCTGGTCTAGGTGGCTGGGTCCCACAGACTGAAGCAGGCCGAGAGTGTCCCTTGCCCCCAGCTATGGGTACAGTCAAAGGCAAGTGGAATGAAGGTCAGTCTTTTGTGTTCATAGAGGCTTTGAGTCTTGTTAAATGAAAATTTGCCTGAACTAAAAATATTTTCAGCCATGTGAATTTTAATATGAAATAGGTCTCGGGTTCTATCCATAGGACATAGGGGACTATTTGCAGGACATAGGGGAAGTCACAGGACACTGCCCATGTTTACATGTTGGCAAAGCTGGGCCCTGCTTCCCCAGTAAGCCCTGTATGGGAATTTCTCCGTGGGCTCGCTTTTAATGAAGTGCAAAGACGTCCATCCCTTCACTGGGAAGGCCTCTCGCATTCCACCCCATGGGCACCTGTCTTTTCTCTGAGCCTCCAGAACATTTTGTGTGCATGGGATCCTCTTACAGAATGTTTTCACATACATAAATTGAAGAAATAAAAAATTTCAAAGAAGCCAATGGCATTGAGATAAAGGTATCAGAATAATTTAAAGGGTGAGCAATTTAATGATTTATGTGCATCTTAGATAACATCAATATGACCTAGCAGCAGGCCTAATAACCGTGTGATTTCAAAGGAGTGATGAGTCAATGACCTGAGATACCCACAGCAATTGTACTGTACTAGGAAACTATTTTATAATTTCTACAAATGAAGAAATCACAATTTCCACTAATATCATCTCAGTGTGTTGCCTAATTTATAATTGAACAAAATGCTAAATTTCAGTTTGAGTTCATAAAAAATGAAGATGTAATTTTTTTCCCACCCAGGTTCAGAAATCCCTGGAGGTATATACAGGAAGGGAGGATGGAGCTGAGGTTAAGAACCCTTGCCCTAGAGAGCACATGGTCAGTAAGTAACATGTAATAGGATCATTATAATCAACAAAAGAATAAGTGTTTTTAAAAATGTGAGCCAAGTAGTTGTGTATTAAAATAAGATCCTAGTCCCCTTTACTCTTCAGCCTGTTCTCTGCCCCAGGCTCTCCTCCACCCCAGCTCCAGGGCATGGCAGGGCTTGGGCCCAGAAGGAACATCAACCAGCTTTTGTTGGCACTCTGTCTGTAATGACTCTTTGAGGGCCAACAACTTAAGCTTCTGAGATTTTAACTATCAATCCTGATTATTGAAGCCCTGGGATCTCTGTATACAAAATTCATTAATTTTGCATGTACACCACTAGATGGCAGCAGTGTCTCATAGAATGTTCTTCCCCAGCTATGGGTAGCGCATTCAGCGGCCAGTTTTTTTTAGAGTTTTATTTAGATCCTGGAAAACCCAAGCTCAAGCTCCCTTCTCACCTCCCTCACCTTAAAAGTTATTTTTTTTCTCTTTAAAGTTATTTATTTTTATTGAGGTAATGTTGGTTTACAACACCGTACATGTTCTAAGAGTACATGTTCACAACTCTTCAAATGAACGTCACCACACCACAAGGAGGTGGGTTTCCCAGAGTCATTGTTGCTTTACTTTGTTCCTCCAGCAGGAGGCCATGCGGAGTGGGTGGAAGAGTGTAGACTCTCCAAGGTCACACACAAAATGATTGACTGGCATACACAGAGAATTGCACTCCTAGCATTCACTGAGTACCTACTATGTGTCGGACATAATGCTATGCTTTACGGACATGGATCCCCTTCACAGGTGTGTGGCTGTGTACTGAGAGTGAAGAGAGAGAAGCTATGGTCTTTGGGTGAATGGACCAAGGTTCCAAGTTGCAGCTGAGGGAGAACCAGCGCTGATATGCAGTCATCTCTCCCTGGGTTCTTCCTTCCACTTGGAAAATTTAAGTTACAACAGACACTATGATTTCAGTGAAGCTAAAATATGTCCATGAACTCAAACTGAAATTTTGCATTCATGCAAACATGAAATCAGCAGTTGTGATGTTGTTGAAGAGTGATGGTCTATACAAACTGCTCTGTCATTGAGCTCGTGTATCATTTCAAAAAAGCATTAACAATATTTCCTAATGAGGGGGTCTCCCTGGAGGTGCAGGGGTTAAGTCTCAGCCCTATCACCATTGTGGCCTGAGTGCGATCCCCAGCCAGGGAGCAGCAGACCTCTCCTGTCTTGCCTGCTGCTCCCCTCAGCAGTGTATTTCAGTGGATCCACCTGTTCTGCTCCCCACTTGGTCTCTGGTGAATCCTCTCACCCCCCACACCTCTCACCTATACCTCAGTTTTTGTATGCATAAATAAAAATAAATCTAAAAATTTTTTTTTCTAATGACGCTATTAAGGCGCATACCTGAAATTAGTCCCCAAACCTATTGCACAGACGAGCCAGCTTTAATGAGAGACTGTATTGTAGATTGTGTTTGGCTGACTGAAATTGGCAGGAACACAGAGCATTTCCACACGGGGTCCATTGCTTGGTTTGCTTCAAGGTGGAACAAAAGCCTTCTAGTCTTTAAATCTAAGAGGCAGGTGGGCTGACATCAAATGCTTCCATGTACGCCAGAGCAGCAAAGCCAGATCACATGGTGCCTTTAATTGGATGGGATTTCCCTTCTCTCCTAGCCGTCCCTTACAAAGGCAAAATGAAGGCTTCACTTGTCATTTCTCCCTGTATCAAAGAGCCTCTGGGAAACCCACATGCAAAACACACACACAC